GTCACCATTTAAGTCAGTGTTCTCCCATCATGCTTGAATTTGTCGCTCATTTTGTCTTTGATGAGCTTGTTGCTGTGGCACTTTTTGCACTTTTTGTCCCTATCCTGTATGTGATAGTTACTGTAGGATTTCAATCATAATTGCTTCTTGTGCCGAATATCCAGACCTAATTCCAGTGCTGGAAAATGTACCACCTCCTGTGAGCCAGTTGATTTGACCCGTGAAAGTCCCACTTGACACGAGTTGTAAAGCATTCTGCATTGAGTCCTTGCAGCACTGTTATAGGTCAGCTACAGGTGAGGCCATTATTTAGACATCATTACCTAAATCTTGTGTAATATTTGCTCTCTCATTCTTTTTCCTGGACATTCATAGATGTTGTAGAGGAAGTGGAAAGGGGATGAAGTGAAACAAAGAAAGCAAGAGAGAAGAGATATAGTTAGAGGAGAGAGTGTGTGAGAGCGAGGAGAGAAAACAGTGGAGAGTAAATCCTCTTTCCCCGCTGACTTTAATCTCTCCGTGGGCTGAGCCTGGCAGTTCAGGCCCTACAGCAGCCGTCAGTCGAGACGAGTGGCAGCCAGCAGGTGGGGGATGGGGACGTTGGACCTTGTGTTATGTCCGGTCGACTGTGGTATGTCTGTCAGAGGAAGTGACTTTCAGGGTGGGATGGATGGACAGGGGAGAGGAGAGAGAGTGAATAGATTTTTTTTAAATGACAGTGTGATGTGAGACATTAAACAAAGCAGCTGGAAAAAGTTCCTTATTACTTCTAAATGAAGTGATGTTACAAGTAAAAATTAATAGGTGTCTCTCAGACTTGACGTTTCCTGAGACACTGTGTGTCTTTACTCCAAAGCCCAGTTGGAGCTTGAAGTTGCTAGCTGAGCTAACATGAGCAGGCGTTGTTTTTATTGTTACTGTAACTCACAAAAAACAGCAGAATCATTTAATAGAGCACCAGAAATTAACCAAGAATGTTTGCTTGGTTGTATGTTGTGTGCAAATAATACGTTTACAGGGTTATTTGAGCCGGTACTATGATTAGCTAGCTTTGGTGGTCTTAAAACTTTCACCTAGCACCATTATCAACTTTTTCCCATTATCAACAATATTGTCAACATGAAATTTTTTATGACATCCACCCTCACGTGTACTTAGTGATAACTAGCAAATGTTTGCATGCTTAACTAAGATAAAAAGCATGACATAGGCATTTGTATGTAAGCCTTGTCATTTTGAGCATGTTACCATGCTGACGTTAGCAACTGCCATACTGTCCATGGCTGTAGACTCTTTGGTGTGTCCAAAGTCCATACTACAAACGAATGCCATACAGTATGTACTAAATACTGATCAACTTGGTTTACTGTTTTGGTTGTTTAGTGTACCAAAAAAGATCAACACACTTGGTGCCTAACTGTTTTGTACTAATAGGGGACTAATAAGAGATTAAATAAGATGTTTTGTTTTCTGAGCTGAGCTGTTTCACCAACATTAATCATTTGTTTCAGTTTCATTCAGCTGTGAGCAGCTCCTCCGTTTCCTTTATGCATTTTGGGAGAATAGAATAGAATAGAATAGTTTTTTAGTATGCATACTACATGTTATGAATGTACTTTTGTAATTTTTCCACTATGAACACATTCCAAACCTGCTCAAATTTCTTATATACTATGGTTTTGGGACCAAACTTGTGTCTTGTTAAAACAGCAAATGATCAGATGCATGTCAGTCCAACAAGCATGAAGTCTGAGCTGAACAACTAAACTGGTGTTCAATGGATGTCCAGTAGGGTAACTCTGTGGTTTACCTGCCCAAGCATAACTGTGTTAGAGAAAATTGTGAGATGGAGGAGAGTGTATGAGGGAGCAACAGAGAGATGCAGTGATTACACGCAACATCGATGGACGAGCTCATTTTAAGGTCACAGATGGCCAACAATTATCCGGGACAAGTGGTGGACCACACAAACTGCATCATGAAGACTAAATAGCATCACGCAGAATAGATGTTGTGTACGGTAAATGCTCAAGTGAAAATAAGATATATATGTTCGGAACATTTAAATTCAATTTTCAGTTCAGTTCAATTTTATTTATATAGCGCCAAATCACAACAACAGTTATCTCATAGCGCTTTTCATTAAAGAGCAGGTCTAGACCGTACTCTGTAATATTATTTACAGAAACCCAACAATTCCCCAAAATTAAAAAAATTGTTAATGCAAAATGAATAAATGTTAATGCAAGCTGAATAGAGATGGGATTAAAGAAGAAAAGAAGTTGGAACGTTGATAATCATTTTGATAGCTTGAGAATGAGTGAAAAAGACAATGACAGAAAGACTGGTCACAGTCAATATGAGAGGAAACGAGAAGACAAAGCTGTGCTGTATGTGTGTGTTAACTGGAAGCAGTTCCACTGCAAACAGATTAGCAATCAGCAACGGATCAATAACACAGCAGAACATCACACTGAGATGATGAATGTGGTGAGGAGCAAAATAAACAGCATGTGAGAGCACAGGTCTGAATGCTATTGACTGAGAGAGATGCCACAGTATTTAGGTATTTGTTAAAGGTTTGTTAATGTACAGAGACATTTCAGTACATGACGAGATTTCTTTTTAATGGAAAATGCATCACGGGAACATTAATACTGTTGCCATTGACAACACAACCTGGCAACGCTGTCAACAAGTGGGCGAAGTAAACACGGCAATGGATGGGATCCATCTTTGTTGCCATTTTGAAACTTCTGTTTTCTAAAATGAAGCAGAGGGATACAATCTGAATAAATCAATGCATTTCAGACTCAACTTTAAAAAGTCATGTTTGGCTGATAAAATCATCAGAGGAACTGTTTCTTATCCCACCTAAAACATATTGGATTTTCATTAAGTTCATCTATGTTCCCAGTGTTTCTCTTTTATAATGTAAAACCTCGTCTCCCGAGTACGGTTCACCTGCAATGTAGCTGATCTATGAATTGAAGCTTATTCTGCTGTTGCACTCATTGTTAGAAACTCTGGATTACAGTGTCAGCCAAATGTCTAAAATGTGAAATGTTAATTTAAATATTTTTAAGTGCACACACATACGCACGCAGAGAGAGAGAGCGAGAGAGAGGGGAGAGAGGCATTAAAGAAGGAGAGTAGCTCTCTGAAAAGGCTAGATTTTTCCCCTCCATCTCTTTTCCCGGCACATGTTCAATTATTAACCGCCCTGATGACTCCACAGGGATGGAGGCAGAAACAGACAGACAGAAGGCGGGGCAGAACAAGGAGATACTTTATCAAACATCCAGCTGTGACTCTAACTGACCTTGTGTCTATTCACCTCAGAGACTTCCTGACAAGGACTGATTGATGGAAGCCTTGGGCTCGAGCAGAAAGCAAACTTTTTAGGTCAGCAAATTCTGGTACACCATCAGCTACTTCTGCTATTTTACCAGAAAGCTGGGGCTTTAATGGTGTCATGTGAAGGTCAAATGGTCACTTATGGCTTTAAACACTTGTATAACCCAAAATATGCTAAAACTATATCCTAGAAATTTAAAGTAAGCATAGAATAATTCTGTTTTCATAGTAGAAAAACGTTCCACTTTCGTCCATAAAAACCTGGTTTTGAAAATGTTGGAATTACCTCTTGCCACACTGCCTGATTGAGACCAAAAGTCAGCGGTCCCTTGGTCCCATCGCTGCACTGTATATTTCAGTAGATTAGATTACATAAAGCTTTGATGATCTCTCAGCTGAAAGCTGCAGGGTTGTTAATTTATATCAGTGACTAGTCACATTGGAACAAACACTTAATTATGATTTGTGCAGCTGAAGCAAAAACGCATTAGACGCACAAATGAGATCTGATCGGACCACATCAGATTATTTGCCTTATTAAAGTCTTAATTCTTCAGAGAAATAGCAGCAGAGGGAGGGAGAGAAGGAATGAAGGGACGGAGCTGGTTTCCTTCACGTCCTCAGCCCTCATCTCCTTCGTATCGGCCTGTAGCAGCAGCAGCATGTAGCTCCGTCAGCCTGCAGAGTTACAGCCACATACATTTTTCATGGACCATACCTCCAGCTCTACTCTCTGTGGCTGTATGAAATACTGTCTGGCAGCACATCAAAGGAACAAAAATAGACCCACGTCTCTGTCCTTATACTTTTTCTTCAAACCATTAGAGTGATGCCACTCCTCTCTCGCTCATCTCGATTCCCTGTTGATCCGTGAGGAGGAAATTCAGGGTCAGCAGGGTGGATGATTGAACTCAGGGTGTGTGTGTGTGTGTGTGTGTGTGTGTGTGTGTGTGTGTGTGTGTGTGTGTGTGTGTGTGCAATTTTTCTCCAATGGAGAACCTATTTACCCACGGTGTTTTAAACTGTAAATTATGCATCACTTGTGCTTATGAGGTATGTTAGGTTTTAGTCAACAACTCTGGTGCCCTTTTTTTTTTAAAATCTCAAAATGTGAAAACTCATCATCTTGTGTCAATGGTCTTTTTCTGTGCTTTTTGACAAGGACCGAGCAGGCATGGCAAAGGCTTTTCACACTTGAATATTCCCGCTCTGATCGCAGGAACTTTTTCCAGGAACCTTTAAAGGAACTCAGAGAACTTTACCTGCATTGAGCCGTAACTGAGCCACTGTTTTGCTGAAGCACACTTTGACAAGCTGCGAGGTAGAATGATTGAACCGTTGACCCTGCTGTTACAGAACAACCTCTCCAACCTTGAGATGAATGACCACTCAAGTCATCACAACCAGCCAGTATAATGAAGGCTCAGAGCTGCCTTTAAGATGCATTAATGGTGTGTAAATGTAATGTTTTGAGATGATGTGGTGTATCTTTGGTGGTGTTATTTCAGTCTGAATGCAAGCTAAAGCTCTGAAATCTTCGGATCCCTGCTGTACAAAACAATCTACCATATTGCTTTATTTGTAGTATTGTTGGTGTACTAACCTCTATCTGTCGCTCTCTCTCTCTCTCCCCCCCCCCCCAGTCTTCCTTGTTTGAGGTCAAAGTTCATCAGTCATCATGACAGACGAATCGGACATGCGCAATGAGCTGGCCGACCTGCAGACGCGCGCAGACCAGATAGCCGATGAGGTATACTAGAAGACACACACGCACCTGCAAAAATATTCTTACATATCGATGCCTTCTGTTGTAACAGTGAAACATAATACACACATTATTATGTTTTTCAACTAAATGCAATTTAGTTTCTTCAGGGGGGTTAACAAGGGTTTTATATAGCAAACATTCTTCCCATAGAAAGTAAATCCAACAACTACAATCTAGACATACGCATTGACCATTTTGGTTATTTTGGAAATCCAGAAAGCAGATGTTACCCAAGGAGTTAGTATTCAATCAGTACATCAGTCATTCCTCATGAACGTTTGCATATCTTACATCACAGCTTACAATGATTACATTACTATTTACCTACTTTTGTCAAGAGAATTAAAAAGATTTATGTGAATCACTGTGCACTTGTAGGTGAAGTTACATTTACATTTATTCATTTAGCTGACGCTTTTATCCAAAGCAACTTACAGTTGCTAAGTATGTCAGAGGTGGCACACCTCTGGAGCAACTAGGGGTTAAGTGTCTAGCTCAAGGACACTTTGGTGGACGTGTCACAGAGTGGGGAAATGAACCTGGGTCTCAAACACCAAAGACACGTGTCTTATCCACTGCGCTATCACCACTCCATCACCAGTTTTTTTGGCAAAACTGATTTTAGCCTCTGACATGACAATAATGATGTGACATTTCAAAATGTCACATACACCTCCTAGGCCTCCAGGCTGACAGACACAGCTGCTTCCATGTGACCCTCCCTTGTTTTAGCAATTTGTTCTCTAAGTCCCGTTTATCACGACCCTTGCTTTTTGGGGGGAAGAGAAAACTTTGGCCTTTTAATGAGTTGAGAGGAGCTCAGGAAAGAGCAGATAATTCTGTACAGCGGAATAATAGAGCAGCTCAAATGGCCTCATTAAACATTTATGAGGAGATAATGCAAAGCCAAGAGGCTCCACGGATTTGACGGGAGGGATGGAAGGGAGAAATAAGGAAGGCGGGGATGGATGGAGCAATAGAGGGGTGATGGAGAAGCAGGAGATGAGGAGATAACAAAGGGGAAAGAGTGAAATGAGGATTAGGAATGAAAAAAAGTGTTTGGTCTAAGAAATGGATAAGATTTGGAGGTATCCTGCAGAGGGTAGAAAGTTAGCAAACAAAAGGTTGAAAGCAAATGGTTAATCCTGGGGTCAAAAGAGAGGAGAGGCGAAGAATAATCAAGGCTAATTGTATGACTATCAGCTGGACTGGGAATGAAAAAGGGCCCTGGAGTTTTTGACTCAGACCACACCACCTCCCACACAACCCAAGCCACACTGAAATCCCCCCCAAAAGTTTTAATTTGTTATGTCCTGCCCTGACTATCAGTGATTGTCTACACATGTGATTATAGAAATTGTTCACCTTTTCAAATATGTTTTTTAAACTCTTAATATTCCATCTTAACATGCTGAGATGTCTTCTGATAGTTGTCGCGGCTAATCCTTTGCTCTCTCGTTCTCACCCTGCAGTCTCTGGAGAGCACTCGGCGCATGCTGTCTCTGGTCGAGGAGGTGAGTTCAAGTGATCCAATCACACACATCACATGACCAGCCATAACAGAGCGGGAGTAGGCCTGCTCATGTGATTACACATACAATGATTTGTTGACATTTATAGAGATGGTGCCTAGTTTGGCATTTTATGTGCTGGTCAGTCACTCATGGGTCAGTTCTTTAGCACTCTGTAAATTAAATTGTCAGTCTGCATCTTCAACCTCTTCAACACTTTTAAAGAGGAGGAACTTAATTGAGTGAAGAGTCTTTGAAAGGTCAAAAAACAAACTTAAATCAGCAAGGAAACAATGTGAGCCAAACAACTCTCAGTAAGAGAAAGATCAGAAAACTGTCGGAAACACATTTAATTTGAGTTAACACATCAACAAACCAGGTAGCCCACAAAGCAAACATGTTGCAGGTTTCATAACAGGCCAATAAAATGACAGAACATGTGGTAACACATAGAGTGGGCAGTATGGATAAAATCTTACATCACAGTGCATGAAATTTGACATTATAATAGCAATTTATATCATAATATAGCATATTTGCTTTAAATTCACTTGAACAAACTACCCAGATAGGCATTTATATCTGGGTTATACTGACAAACTCAAATATTATGATATAATATTATGCCTTAGGAAACACTTTCAAGATAATTTGTAATGTGAATATCATAACCAAACATGTAATTGGGTCTGCATGGATCCAGTATACCTTTTTTTCTATTGTTGAGGTTTCCTCTTTGTATACTTTCTGTCCCCCCAATGGGCCTGAATTGGTCAGGTATTTGGACAGTGTGTCAGTATGTCAAAAGCCAGCGTAAAGTTAGTTGTAAGTATTTCTAAGCGTAAAGTTAGTTGTAAGTATTTTTAAGCTGAGTTTGCAGTTTTTACTGGCATTAGATTGCCATGATTGTGTGTTGGGCCTCTAGTTCCTGCTACTGGCTTCAGAGAGATAGCCCTGCTCAAACCCCTGGACCGGTCACCGTGTCTTGATGAGACAAAGCCGTGAGGGACAGCGCGAGACCCGAGGCTGACCTAAACAGTGACCTACTCGACAGTCAAGCCTTTTCACTGGCAGTAGCTGAATATTTGACCTTTGAAGATAATGCCAAGGGAATGCAATTTGATCATTTCAACTGCTGAAAATGTCCTGTGCTTTGTTAGTACAGAGCGTGTTTCCTTGTGATGCTCCCAGACAGCAGTTCCAGCGAAAGCCTAGGAGACAAGCGGTCACTGTGTCATGTTTTGGCTTCTCGCTGAGAAAATGGTCTTTCTTATCTCTCCAGAGAAATAGGCTCAATATAGACTGCAATGAAGCAATAAGGCAGCATTTATTATTGAGTCAACATGCCTCTTCATATAATACAGCATATATTATTACCTCTAGGTTTATTCGAGTTTCTTTATATCATTTGGTGATGAAAAGGATTCTGTTTCCGACCGTACAGTGCACCTTACATTCCAGCAAATTGTGAGCACATGCTTATAGTCCATGACCTCACTGTTAAAAGGGCTTATAGTGTGCTTACACTAATTAAGTAAGTGGAGAGCAGTCAGAGCAGGAGCACTCAGCTTGTCCAGTGGTCTCTCCGAGATCTGTGCAGTGATACATGCTTGTTTCGGCCTGTCCAGATCTGATAGTATACTAAAAGTATTAAAGGACAGTGGTGGCGTTTAGTTCAAGCTGTCCCATGTGGAGCTGAAGCAATATCTCTGATTAAACTACCACCTTTTATTATTTATTCATGATTAAAGGAAGTCTATGAGAGAAAAATACTCTAACTCACACAAACACAAACTAGGTGGTTTGATACTACTTTAACTTTGGTGTAGAAACAGCTGTTGGCAGCTTGTAGCAAAGCTCAAGATGTTCATCTAAACCCCATATTTTCAACCACAGAGTGTAGTTGGTCATTTAACTCATAGATTTGCTTTGCTTGCTACCAACATCGTTGTTTTCTTGAATAACTTCATCATACTCCTCCGCATGATGTTTCCCCAAGTTGAGGCCATCACAGATTTCACTCTTACTACGCACTTGGCATTATGTTGTTTTACTTTCTTCCCTCATTTTAGCATAAAACACCTCCAGACAGTTGACATGGCAGGCAGCTGCAGTGGCAATTACAGCAGGTCTCACAAAGTGTAAACAAGTATTGACATGATTTTTCAGTGTACATTGGCTCACGGTGCCAAGTGTTTTTGGCTAGTCTGACCACTAAGTGTTCCATTTACAAGAAGGAGCTTAAACTGGATGAGTTCACTTTTAAGTAATATAAATTCAATGAAACCCTATGACAGACTGTCAGATTTTTGTCTTGTTTTTGTGGCTCACTGAGACCATAAAATATGAATTAAGGTTAATGGCAAAATTACACTGTACCCCATCTTGAGTGCTACATCAGGAAAATTCTACATCCATAACACAACAGTGTTTTAATCATGAAAGACAAAGTAAAAGGTGGTTAAAATAGCCTTAATCCAAGCCTTCCCTCTTTAAGCCTTCTCTCCTTGAACTTTTCTCTCACATGATCCTTTAAGGATCACACCCACACCGACTCTTACTCTCTTTACTCTCTGATGCAGAAATGAAAGCTCATTCTACTTTTGTAGTCAGTAAGTCGCTCTGGTTGAACTCATCAGAATAATACCTGAAATGTAATTAAAATCCAGGCAGAAGAACATGTATCATAATGTCATTATGAATGGATTCTCATTTAATGCATGAACTTACATTAACACAGTGAAATCAATTTATATGAAGTGCAAATTTGCAAGGCAACACTATCTTAAGAAATGATAAGATATTACTTTGTTTTAGACATTGCTTCCTGGAAACATGAGTGTGCTGTAATGTTTATGAACAAAACAATGTCACTTAGTAGTCAGACAGTAGAAACATTCACATTGGCTGATAATGTAATGATGTAGTGTGTCCTTGTCTCATGCAAATGTGACCCATAATTCCAGTGTTCGTCATGACCTTTGTTTTAAAGACAGCAGGAAATGTGAAAGTGTTTCTCCTAGCATCATTCAAATGACTTGTCCTGCATGGGGCATTTTGACATTTTCAGTGTCGAGAACGTTGCAGGGTTGAAGTCTGAAACTGAAAAAATTTTAATGAGCTGCTTCTGCTACTTTGAGCGAAGGAAATATACACAGACATTTACAATTGGGCTGCAACTAACAATTATTTTTCATTATCGATTAATCTGTAGATTATTTTCTCAATCAATCAATTAGTTGTTAGGTCCAGAAAATTGTAAAAAAAATGTTGATCGATCAGTGTTTCCCAAAGCCCAAGGTGAAAACATCTTCTTTGTCATGACAGTTTTCTGTCATGGCAACCAGAAAATATTCACATTTGAGAAGCTGAAATTTGGGAATTTGGACGTTTTTTCTTTTTTCTTTTTTTTTAATTACTCAAAGTGAATAATCGACCATTAAAATAGTTAGCGATTCATTTAATAGTTGACAACTAATCGATTCATCGACTAATCGTTGTAGCCCTGTACGATTATCTCTAATATAAGATACACCACGTTCACAGCACGGTATTGTTAGCAGCCTGTGTGTGTGTGTGTGTGTGTGTGTGTGTGTGTGTAACAGGGCAGGTCTGACTGTGTGGAAGATTTACGTGACTGTTTAACTGTGTGTGTTAAAGCTGTCTGTTAAGGGTTGTGAGCAGGGATAACATGATTTCACACACAGACGTCTGTCTGCCCGCTAACACAGACACCCAAGTTTTCAAATTGTGTCCATTAAAAGAATAGCATACTTACTGACTTTCCTGCAGAGTTAGATGAGAAGATTCTCATTTTGTAAGCTAAATATATAGTTGGAACCAGCAGAAAAACTCCACAAAATTATCTTAGAGGTGCTGGTAGCCAGGTTTTGTTACCTTTGGATAGAGCTAGGCCAGCTGTTTCCCCTATTTCCATTTTTATGCTAAGCTAAGGCAAACAGCTGATGGTATTGACCTTCTCGTCAAACACTTAGCAAGAAAGCAACTAAGCGCATTTCCCAAAATATACAACTATTCCTTGAAGTATTAGTATTTAAAGTGTCAGATATCTTTCAAAATACTTTGTTTTAAATATATGCTTTAAGTTTGAATTTACCACATTTTTAAATGGCATAAGTGACAAGTATAATTTAGTAAACTAAAATAAACACAAGCACAAAAGAAGATGCCACAGCACGGATGTAACCTGCTAGGAGGGAGAGATTGAATACATGGGCCAGCTTTTATAGCCCATAGGTCCAGGTGAGAGCCATCAGCTGATGACCCTACCAATTCAGCCAATTGTCTGCTGAGGTTGTAAACAGTGGGAGGGGCGTCACGCATAAATAACTGACATGTACTGTATTTATTTTACACTACCTTTGTTGCCTCAATGCAAAGCTGATCAGGCGTGTTTAGCCAACTCATATTTACATGGAAATGTCATTTATGACCTGGCTCAAAAGGCCACAACAAAAGGGAGACACATTTAACAAAATATATTTATTCAACTCAAAATAAGCCAAATTAAGACTAGTACCAATGTAAAGGTGATAAAGTATGGGGTATGAACATCATGGTTTCAGTCATGTCAGGGCAGGATAATGGATGCATGGGAAATGATAACTACAACTAAAACAGCATGTCCAGAAACCAAGGCAAAGTTTGAACCTGTGGAGGGAAACAGAGGGTAGTGAGTTAGCAGGGAGATCTGTGAGCAGCATCATCACTTAGAATGAGAATAAGGCGTTACAAATACTCCACAGGGCAATTAGCCCAGGGGCCCAGAGTTACTACAATCAGTCTCAGCTCTTCACCTGCAAGATAGAGATTGGCCACGCCCACACGTGACCCCGCAGGGCATCACAGTGATTAGTGATTAACTATTTCCAAACAGGGAGAATTGTTTAAGTCACACAGGCAAAATCTATTAATTAGCAGCTCAATTCCCATGTGTATCTAAAGTGTATCAAAAATGGAGATTTAGTGAATTCTCTTATTGGCAATAAATAACTTTGTAGTGCACATACACCTTCTGAAAAGGTTTTAGAAAGAAAGGTCCAGAGATATTGAAGATCTTATGAAAACATTATCTTCACACCAGGGGAACAGAAATGAGAAACTACTTGTGGGTCAGAATGAAATGTGAAGAAAGCGGGTGCGAGAGATGGAAATGAAAAAAAAGAAAGTAAGGCAGATATGAACATAAGAGGGACGAGGAATGAGATGAGAGTGAAAGATAAACAGAGAGGTAGAGAGGAGTCTGTAAAGACGATCTGGTTTGATGAGCAGTCAGAGAATACATTAGGCCTACACAAGATGGACGTGATATCATTCATGCAGGCTGTTACTGGCTGTGATTAGAAACGACTACACTGTTGCCTCTGTGAGGAAATATAGGCCTGGTCCACACGGACACGGGTATTTTTATATGTTATATAATATTATATATTTTTCTTTTAAAAAAAATCCACCCACATGAAAACGCAAACACAGGCTATCAAGCGCTATCAAGAGCATGCCAAACCACCTGGCGGCGATATGACCCTAATAAAATTGTAAACAAAGCAGGCAGTGGCGCACAATCTGACATCAAACACAGCGGATAACGGCGCACACTCTGACATTGCAAGGCAAAAACCCCGGTTTACTGTCCACACGTCAACACTGCAACCGCCGTTTCTGAAAATCCTCACCTTCGCAGGGGTTTTCAAAAATGTCCGGTTTCAGTGACCTGATACTGCGTTTCCGTGTGGCTGAACCGCATAAAAAAGTCACGGTTATGAAAATACTTAGTGTTGACAGGGCCATATAGACCTTATAGTCATTTAACCCACCATTTGAGTCTTAAACCCTGGTTTGTCTTTAAAGACAGAACAGGTATCGGATGGTAAATATTGTGGATTAGCATTCAAAGTGGATTTTCACTTGCAATGTTTGTTATTGGAGAAACAAGATCTAAAGACTAGAAGACTTTTATGGTGGATATTTTGTTGTTGTATTGCACTAGGCTACTGTAGACCCAAGGCAAGTGGTAATTCTCTGGAGGAAGAGATCACTAAATACTTTAGAGCAATTGTTTGATATTTTGGGAAATAAGCTTATTTGTTGTCTTGCTGAGAATTTGACAATAACATTGGTGCCACTCTCAGGTCTGTACAGTAAATATGCTAATTTATTACCTTCAGACAAAGCCATGCTAGATGTTTCCCTGTCTCAAAGCTTTATGCTAAGCTAAGCTAACCGTCTGCTGTATTTACTGGACAGATATGAGAGTGGCATCTTCTCATCTAACTTTTGGCAAGAAACCAAATAAGTGTGCTTTTTAGAAAAAGTATATTCAAAGACAAATAAATTTACCTAAAATATATAATGTGTAACTGTTTATCTGGGTTTAAAGTATGTGTATTGATACTGTGTGATTGACTTTAAAATGCTAAAAAATACTACTACTACTTTTCTGGATAGAAAAAACTGAAAAAAAAAAACTGAAACATCACACTACCATTATCTGCTGTGCACAGTTTGTGAGGAATTGCGAAATGTACACAGGCATCTTTAATCATTAAACCAATCAAGTAGATTTGTGTTTGCCAGATTATCATCTCCGGCACTGGTTGACCAGTAGCAGAGCAGAAGGTGGACATGTGGGTCACACTGGTGCGGTCATCTCCACAGTGAATGAATTACAATAGATTCCAGGAGACAGCAGAGTGGATATCTAAAGAAAAATCAATATCAGGCTACCGAGGACTCTGTATTAATGTCAAGACCTCTTGCTGTCTTTATTTTCTTTATTTGTCTGGCTCCTTTTTTCTTACTCTCTTCTTCTTTCCCTCAATTATTAAGTTTTCTCATTTCCTGCCTGAATTGCCTCTTCTTAAAGTGACAGTGATTGTTTACTTTAAGGATTGTAACTGATACAGACACAATCTTATACAAACACCTTTAATTCACCTGACCTTTAAGACAACATAAGTTGTGGGGTAGATCATAATTTTAGAAACATTAATTCCTACCTTATTAGTCAACTAAATGTGCTTAAAACTCACAACATAAAAAAAAATGGCTGTTTTACACAAGTACTGCTGCTGCTAAGCACAGAAAATGAAGAGCAAAGAAAGATGAGTTTAAAATATTAATCTCTATTAATCTCTTGAAAGGTTCGCCTTCCATGTTCATTTCCTGGGCAGAAAATTATTTTGGGAGAAACTGCAAAAAAATTACCAGGTCGCAGTCTGTGTGCATGTGTGTTTGTGCATATAACCATACAGCGAGATGTGATGTCATTGCATCAGACTATGCCAGTTGGCGTGGTCAGACATCCTGTCCTGTAGTTCAGGAGCCACGACTTCCCTCCCAGGCATGTGATTTCCCATGGTTCCTTGTGGGTAAACAAGCAGTTCTTCAACTGGGTTTAAGCACATGTATCTGCACACATTAGCTCTGCCAAAGTTTCTGTGCTGAGATATTATTAATTATCATTTATTTTCCCACAGCGCCCATGTAAAAAAATCGCTTTTCACCTTCTAACTCGATTTTTAGCCATTCTGTGAATCAGAGGATCAATAACAATGTTCACGCTGATATAGATCCATGGCCACTGGCAGATCTCTTTCGCAGTCAGTTTGATACTAATATCAGTGGCGCATCTAACTGGCCTGCACCACTGTTGTCTCTCTATCATTGCTCCAAGAAGGTCAGAGCGCACTTTGATCCAAAATAGCTGATGCGTGAACTGAATGGCCTTTTGTCTTTAATATCTGTCAGAGAAAGCTTCTGGCTCATGGAGAGCACAACACTGTTGTTCTGTTGTGTGCACACTGGTTAATGTGCTTAGTGTGTGCTCACTGAAGCGTGTTATCATATGATGAAGCCCAGCGTATGCATGCACACAGAAAAAAACAGCATATGAGTCTGCATGAATGTTCATATTTTTGTGTGTGCTTGTGTGTTTGAGAGTGTGCCAACTGTGTAAGCCAAATCAGAATGTTACATTACTGGAGCCATGTCAACAAATCTCTGGTACCAGCCCAGTGAAAATACCAGATATAGCACATGCCATTTGGTGGACAAGTGTACATCGTACATCGGATCGTACATGAACATATTTGTGGCATTTCATCAAAAATTCTCTAAGGTTTTAGGAGGTTTGCAGTTTTCTTTTATGTCTGATTGTTGATGGATAGTCCTAAAGTGTCTCTTGACCCTGCCACCACCTGGCACCCACAATCCATGTACCACTGACACTGTGCAGATCATGGTTACATTTTTTGGTGTTACATTTCATTAAAACTTATAGTCCAAAGGTTAAAAAATCTGCAAACTAGAATCTTGAGGGAAAGTTGCCAGTTTACATTTTAACTTGAGTTGTTGGTAGGTTGGGTTTTGTTACCTTTGGACATAGCCAATCTAGCTAATCCCCCCTGTGTCCAGTCTTTATGCTAAGCTAAGTTAACGGTCCCTGGATCTAGCTTCATATTTAGCACACAGATATAAGAGCGGTACCGTTCTTGTGTCCAACTTTGGCAAAATATTCCTGTAAAGTCAAGCTGTTTTCAGTTATGCCAGACGAGATCAGTCACACTCAAAAAAAGTGATTTCAAATTGTAATATGACCCATCTCTGCTCTGTTGACCTTCACTCATATGTCACATTTATTCCTCTTTATCCCCACTTCTCTTCTTCTCTTTCTTTTTTCCATCTATCTCATCTGCTAGAGTAAAGATGCTGGCATCAGGACTCTGGTCATGCTGGATGAGCAGGGAGGTAAGTTGATAGGGAGAGAACACTGAACACTATCTCTCTAACGCCTGTCTTCACTTTTTATATGCTCTACCAATTCTCTCTTGCAGTTATTTTATGCTGTAAAATGAGAGAGTCGTCATCAGCAGTATGTCCAGTATCACACTGTAGAGTCTCAGTCAAATTTACATACCTGAGGAAAATGACTTTTATGGATTTATAATTACTAAAGCAGAAGCACAGTTTATTTCTTTGTGAGCTTCTGCCAAGTCCTTAAAAGTTACCTGAGCTACAGTCTGAGCTAAAGTGGCTGAAATGATTATACTGGACGTATCTGTTGAGCTAGCCTTCTGCTTTGCCTCCCTATTACTACATGTCTGTGCTTACTGCATTTGTCAGACAAATACGTGGACACTGAGTTATATATATACTTTACCATTATCCTTTCCCTGAGGGGAAAGAATGATCAATTTGACTGGTAATGACAAACACTGACTTTCTCATAGCCCTGCCCATCCTCCTCAGTTCTGCCCATTTATGGCTTGGTCCATCAATAAGAATTAAAGGACACTCCAGCAATGTTACTTTTTCTTGAGATACTCAGCCTGTGAAAACAGTTGTATAATGTCCTATGTTGCTCTGGAGGAACTTCATAAAGAGGCAGGATCAGGCATTTTGAAGTTGGACTCATTATGGAGGAATAGTCAGGACCCTTCTTTTTTAAATCCGTTAGTCCCACAACTTCATGGAAGTGCAATTCTAACATTCTTGACAGCTCTTTAAAACATGTTTAGGTGGTATTTGACTTATCCTTTACGCCATGATAAGCAGAACCAGGGCCGGCCTGTGGCATAGGCGACATAGGTGGTAGCCTAGGGAGCAAAATGTCAGGGGCGCCGCAAGAGAAGGTTTTCGACTCTGCGCGAATCAACTCTGCCCAGCTTCTGCCACACCGGCGTACGCCGTGATAGTACCTCCAGAGAGTTGTGATGAGTCTCGTTGTGTAGAGTTTTTGCAATATAAACATCTAAAACCTTAGACGCAGCCTTGCTGTTTGGGACTGTGGACTGCTTAAGTTAACATGCGTGTGGATTCGTGGTGAATGTTTTCCAGTTGGTTTCGGTTTCACATGCAGCAATGCAGTCTGTGCACTGTATCGGTCAAACGGTCTGAAGGGGATAATTCCAGCGGAGCAATGAGTAACCTAATGCACAGCAGAGTATAGGACAGGTAGACTTAAAAAATACGAATTTTAATTAAATAATGATGTCAGTCTCGTAATGTTATGACTTTTTTCTCGACATGTCCAGACCACAGATATTTAGGAGAGATTCTGAATGCGCATGAAGATTGAACATGAGCAGAAAACCTGCTGAAACACATCAGCTATTAAAACTCAGGAATTTGTATTTGAGGTGAAAAGGTGCCACATGCACATCCCCAAACAAAAACACAAAAAAGGGGGAAGACTGAATCATGCCTGCGTGTGTGTAATCATAATTTCAACTAGAATGTAGCTACAGCAGAATTACAGGGCCAACATTACAATAATGTCTCACTGATACCTGTGTAACTGATAGTAACCCCATTTTCAATTGCAACTGATATAATTTTAACAAAAAAGCAATCAACAATTAAGCCATATCATCATCAATCTTACCGTATCACCTTCGCCTGGGCACTAGGGGCTGTGTTGGCTTTGACTCTGTTTTGCTATTGCCCTCATTTCTGCTATCTGTCTCTTGTTCACCCATGTCAGCGCTAGTACTGGGGCCGCCAGGATCCTCACTGCTGTCTCTACTTGTGGCGGTAGAAGTAGCAGCAGCACCAAATGAAAAGTCTCTTTGTGCACCTGCCTTCAGCGACTTCTTTTTCTTCTCCCTCAACTTTTCAGCACCGCATCGCATGCTTTTTATCCATGATTTCTGAAGCACAAATAACAGGTGCTAGAGGTTAGGTCCACCTTTCACCCGTTTCATCATGTTCTGGTCTGGAGAGTGTGATTGATTGACATCGCCAATTTTATTAAATAGGCCCCGCCCAACCACCGTCTGGGCCAGTAACCACATACTATGGACCAGCTGATCAAGGCACATACCAATCAAATTTCACCTGCAGTTTTTTGTCTCAATTATAATACTAGGCATATGTTGTGTATTGGCCAGTCTGCCCTTGCCTAGTGCTGTGTGTTTCTCAGGCTGGTTAAAATCCATGACATTGAATTATTCTGGTACCTCTGAACAAACAAAGTAAATACCGATTTTAGATGCCCATCCTTCTCAGTTTCATATTGGCAACCCTGACTGAAGACACGACAAGACAAAAACAAGTAGAAAGAAGAAAAGTAGGCTGATCTTTTGGGCTCCTTATGGGCCCCCTTGGTGAGTGTGGGTCCTCAGCCCAGCCCCAACCCACCCACACCCCACCCCCTGCATCACCATGCATGAAAGAGCAGCTTAATTGGCCTGTCAAAGAAACAGATAGCCTTTTTCCATCCCTCTCCCTCGTCTTCTCGCCTACAGAGTAACGGCTCAACGATCAATTCACAGATTTAAATTACCCCTGCCTTTCAGCAAATGTCCTCTTAACCTGATCCCCCATCTGTCTGTCTTTCTTTCTGTCTTCCTCTTGGTCTCTTCTTTTTCTCTATTCCATGCTCCTTCTCTTTTTTCCTACCAGCCCCTGCTCTCGTTCCCTTCACTTTTCTCTCCTGACCTCTACGTTTTTCTTCTCCCATTTCTTTGCCTGGTGATCACTTTAGTTGCACTAATGATGTCGCTCTTCCTTGTCTTCATTCGTTCCTTCTCTCTTTGCTTACGCCTTGTTCTCTTTTTAATGATTACTGAAGTATACAAGCCTCTACCGTTGGAGGCTCTGACATATTTGACATATTAGTTACATCGAGAATTCCCTCTTATATTGCCATGAAAGAAAAAAACTGGACAGTAATAGCTTTTCAAGGCTGTGGTAATTAATGTTGTCTTGTTGAGCTGTAAAATGGGGTGTAACTAATCCCTCTGCCCTTTAGCCACACACACACAGGCATCACATATAGGAGGAGATCTGTCATTTCTTCCAGTGATGTATTAGCTGTGGTGGAGGTCTCTATGCAGCTAATGAGCCCCTCCCTGTTTGGCTGTTACATGCATGTTGACCTGTATTACACCTCAGTCAGGGCTGATGGATTGCAGCTCTGCCTCAGAGAACCCAAGACACCGGCAACTTGCATCGTTTTAACTCTGAGAACAACACATCGGTTGGATTGTAGCTGCTGCAGGTTGAAAATGTGCACGGAGTGTGGCGGATTTATGTTTTGTCATGATGAATGTTAAACTGATAACTGGAGATGGCAGTTTTTCCATCATCATCACTGTTGGACCATTACTGCCTGTCCCAGTGACTCTTCTCTTTTTCTGTTACTCTTGGATCAGTCTTCAGTACTGACAATCAATGCATAGATTTACTTACCATTAGTTCATGATTTAAGACGGTGGAACGTACACTTTTATACAGAGTTATATCCTACAGTGCCTTGGGAGTCAGGGTATTCTTTATTTAAACCTCCGAGAAAATGTGAAGGAGGGAGTTTGAACCTAGAATAATACAATGGGTGTTGCAAACAACCTCACTCCCAACTCGTCACATATGGACGCTTGATGAATTCCCCTTGGTGTCGCTTTGTAACTCCTGAGTACCCCTTTAGCAATATTTTTCAATGTATAGGGCGCTCAAGTTAGCAACAATAAATATCCAACATCCGGTTAGACTAGTGGTTAAAGTAACACACCTTGGTTAGGTTTTGGAAAAGGTCCCGTTTAGGGTTAAAAAACTTAACTTACGTAAGTAAAATAACACTACTTACATAACTTACGTAGCTTACGTAGCTTACGTAACCTATGTAACCTCACTAAAAAAACAATCAGTGTTGACTTTTTGTTTCACGTGGGAAACGAACACCAGTCTCCTGGGCAAAAGTCCGGTTTCTGACCTACTTGTCCACCCCAACCACCTCCTTACTTGGAGTTTTCTGTTATTTATATCCTACACCAGCTTTAACATTCAAAATGAAGCTACAGGGCTTCCCCCCCCTGCATTGAACTATGACGCTAGGGCAAACTGACACCATTGGGTCTTGACCATGCGTCCATACGTGACGACTTGGGAGTGAGAACAGGCTGTAAACGCGCCATAATTTAGTACATTTTGATATGTCACTCTAAGAAAAGCACACTGACACCATAATCTTCAAATTGAGGGGAGGAGGCAGGTTGTTAAGTCTGGCATGGCTGTCCAAAGCTGAGGAGATAAAAACAATGCCCCTCTCTCTCATGTTCCTCCATTACTCAGTCCCTCGTCTTGCCTGGGATTACTGCTATGGCAAGCCGCTATAACATTTATTATCTAGACTGGATATTCATTATTGATGTCTGAGACATCTTTTTGCCTAGTCAAACCTCTAATTAAAGATATCTGTAATTATATTTTGACTAGTAAGATTCAAACTACTTTTGCCATTCATGTGTATGGGGTTTCTCGTTCATTTCAGTTGCAGATATCCACAATGTGAATTGCAGATATCTGCAAATGAATTATGACTGGTTGTAATTCCACTTTCAGATATCTACAATTGAATTCTGAGCCACATCGTTTTTTTCCCAGAGCTGTTGATGGAAGAGGCAGATGAGTGAGCCACCTTGCTTCTTTCTCATCTCTGTTGAGAGTTGTAAATTTCTACCACAGCTCTCTAATGAATGAAGCACTCGTTCGCCACAAAAACCTGGATGATGAGCTCTTTCTATTTCATTGGCATTTTCTAACCATCTTATCCACAGCAGCAACATTTGAGATAAATGCAACTATTATTTGGAACAGCCCAAATTAAATTACAGATAGATGCAATTGTCATTTAGGATATGTGATGAGTCGAGTGTCGTTGTCAGTGGCGTCACTGCTGATATTTGTAATTCAGTACTAACAAGTTAAAAATTGTGTTTTAAATGTTAAGTGCGCAAAGTCAAACCTAGCTCATAAATGTTAAAACAGCTTGCCATATGATGGAGGCCATTTAGTTGTCCTGTTGGTAAATTCCACTTACACAGTGTAGCTCTTTACCTTACAGTTAGCTGAAAATGCATCTCAGCCCTTGCTCCTGATCCTCTCTCCTTAGCTTTTAAGAACCGTCATTTGTTTTTGAAAAGTTTGTTCAATTTATTTTGTGCTCAGTGTTAACTGCTGTGGCTTTAGAGAGAGTAAAATGAGTAAAAAGAGAGTGTTGAGTATAAGGTAAAAAGGAGCAAATATTTTGGGTGTGGCAATCCTTCCCATGGTTATACCTCAGCTGTCAGGGTTAAGACGCTAATTTTCTCTGGTTCTGTACAGCTAATGCAAGGGTCCATGACATAATTGTATTGTATTTTAGCTTTGAAAAAAAACACAAAAGCAAGATTATTCAGCAGTGGAGACTAATTTCAACTAACCACCTTGACTATAAGTTTTTCCTCACAGACAAAATGCCTCCTTTCCACTGCTGGAGGTTACTGTTATTCTGTCCTATAACCATTAACCAGCCAGAGAGAGGGGCTGACCTTGAATCGGCGCTTTTTATAGCTCTGTGACCATCTGAGTAAGGAGGCACTGGTGACTTCATCTGCCTGAGTGGTGTTTTTCATCACAATCCTTTCATGAGTTGATAATTGATTTGTTGCTCATTCATTCATTTGCTTTTAAGTATTCAGCCTATCACATTTTCCTATCAGTCTCTTTCACTCTCTCTCTGTCATCTATCACTGCTCCCACTGATGTGCAGTAGTGTTCAGTCAAAATGGGCAGAATTAGCATCCAAGGTGGGTTAAAATCAGGGGCAGCTGGACGTGGTTGAAGACACTCAAAGACGTTTTGCCTGTCATCCCAGAGGCTTCTTCAGTTCTCAATTAACATCTTCCTGCACAGATGCAGTTTTGGATGAAGCATGCTGCTACTGAGGCAGGTTATTGCCACTGCCACTCAGACGAAATACTTACTCAGGAAAGCAATATGTTGCTTTGGATGGAGGTAGGAAACAAAAGCTGCTGGAACTGTGTGTGAATCCTGGGGGGGGGGAAAATCAGTGTCACTGTGCCAAGAGAAATACCCAGCGACTCTTAATGCTTGTTGCCTGCTTTGCCTTCTGCATCTAGCCAAAACATGTTGCCACTTGCACTGTAGCGTAGAGCGCCAACCCTCAAAAAACAAACCAGTCAGATTTATTTCACTACTCTCATGCCTTTGTCCTCACCAGAACAACTTGATCGTGTGGAAGAGGGCATGAACAAGGTGAACGCAGACCTGAAGGAGGCCGAGAAAGATTTAAAAGATATAGGACAATGCTGTGGTCTGATATGCCCATGTATTAAAAAGTAGGTACCGGCCAGGAGCCCTGAGCTCTTGCCTGTCCAGTGCTGGTGGTGGTGATGTCTGATGTCTCTCTTGTCACAGTCAATGTCTTTTTTTGTCTCTTCTCCTTTGTTTCTCCTCTCTGCTCCCCTCCCTTCCTTCCACCCACGACTTCTTCCTCCTCTCTTTCTTCTCATGTGCTTTCGTTCTTTTGCTGGAAAAAAATGACAATGTGTTGGTAATCAGAACAACTGGAGCGCATCGAGGAGGGGATGGACCAAATCAATAAGGACATGAAGGATGCAGAAAAGAATTTGAACAATCTAGGACAGTTCTGTGGTCTATGTTCATGTCCCTGTAACAAGTAGGTGCTGCCTGTGTCGCCTGACTACATGTGTTTCAGTGCCTGCCTTCCTGCCTCTCTATCCATCTGCCTGCTTCTGGTGCATAGAGCATGGTGAACTGTGGTGTGACCAGTCAGGCCAATAGCCACAATGACATACTCTCTGAACAGGCACCAGCACTGCATGCACGTCTGGGTGTGTTTGCTTTTTAAGGTTGAGATCAAGTGAACAATTGCGTGCATGCATGAACAACACACACATCTGCACAACAGGTCCGCTCCCACTTTATCTGCTCTGCAGCCTCCGTGGCTGCTGTCCTCAAAAGCCCTTCATTCCACATCGGATGAGAGATTCTCTTCCAGCAGGTAGCAGCATCAGCAGGGATCTGGGCCACAGCACCCACCCCCCCCTAAAGCCCACCCAAGCCCCCACCCTAACATCCTGCAGCATGGTGCATCATGCTGTGTACAAAATCAAACCAAATAATAAATCAACTAGTTGCCTTAGTACCTCTACTAAATCACTAATTAGAATTATATCAGTTTTTCTGCCATTTCTGCCAACTATTTTTGTTGATGTTTCAAATGTTTTTACATGAATTAACTCAGTACATGGGGCTAATACACAAAAAAAAAAGTTTCTGATTTGAAATGACAATTTCCATACAAGACTGTATCATAGTCCCTGGGATTTGTGACATCCAAAGTTTTCACCTGATATATTTTCAGAAAAAGCTTGCTGCTGTACATGACATTAAACTACAGTATATTATACAACTGATACTTGCAACTAATCAATCTGACGGGCCTGTCAGATCAGAAGGAATAGTTTGACATTTTGGGAAATATGCTTATTCTTGCTGAGAATTCGATGATGAGATCTGAAGTCTGTACAGTAAATAGAGTACATGGCTGGAGCCAGCAGACAGTTAGTTGAGCTCAGCACAAAGACAGGTAACCGGGGGAAACAGCAAGCTTTTCATAAAATGTTAAAACCATTCCTTAAAATGTAATCTTTTGAGTCTTAGTTCTTTGCAATGATTGATTGATTTATCCTTGAATGTATGCTAGTTTCAATACATTTTTCCAACAGTACCTATGAACTGGTTTTATTGTAAGGAAGCCTTAGTACAGGTCAGGATGTTCTGTACATGTAACATGTTATCTCATCACTCTCTCAGTCAAGTCCAATCACTTTATAATCAAAGACATACAGTGAAACGAGCTGCTACAATGTCTAACTTACTCTTTAACACACCGACTTTGGCATATGACCCTCAGATTCCAAGTTGTACCAATAGGGAGCCTCTAATGGCCCCTGCTTCTCTTCCCTCAGGGCTGTCCTACATAATGAACTATCATATTAAGGATATTGGGTGCCATCATTTGAATGCTTTGATATAAAAGTGGATAGATACCCAATGCCAGTGATCTGTTCTCTGGCCCTCAACAGCCAAACTATGGCCACCGAGTCATGTCTGAGCATACTATACTCTGGGACCAACACATGTACTGTATACAGTTGTCTATCTCAGAGCTATAGAAAACACAAGCGGCTGACAAAATGTAACTAAATGGCTATATTGGACATTTTGAGTTGGGTTTGCAGCAAGATTTTTCTCGGATATTTTTCTCGGAATTAATTGAGTTAAGTGATGCCTTGATGATTTACCAAATGCAGTACATGTTATACACTACTGTACATCTACAGTCAGGTGTTAGTGTAAAAGTGTTTTTTGTCTTCTTTAGGAAAGGCTTAAGCAGAACCGGAAAAAAAACACTTGATTTTCGGTGGTCAGTCTGACCTAGAATGAGATTTATAAAAAATATATATTTTATGGCTTCACTGTGTATTACCATAATGTTTATATACATTCTGGAGATTAAATACACCAGTAGACATTTTAACAACAGACGATTATTTTCTCCAAAACAGGGCTGAACAGGATCTTGACAGTAGCACATGTAACTAATCTATTTTATTTGCATCACAGCGGTTGTTTTGTTTTGGTGTTAATAGTCATTACGTGATTTTGAAATGAACTTCTTGTTTTCAATATGAAGGTATATTAAGAATTTGCTGCCTCCATTTGGTCCATTTTGGTCCCACTTCCATACGTGATTGTTTTGTGTGTTCAGATCTTGTCTATTCTATAGCTCTTTGGTCCTCCTTACCATGAACCACGTGGTATGTAATCCCGTGGTTATGTCATTTTCTGATCTCATTCTTTATATGGGAGCCCTGGGTCAAATAGCATAAGAAAAAATAATTCTTGCTTGTTGTTATAAACTGTCTGGGGCACCTGGTGGATGTGGTTTACCACCTCAAGACCACAACGTTGCATACAGTAGTTGTCTTTCATTGAAAAGTGAACAAATACAACTTTTATATAGCCTAAACTTTGTTCTTTGTATTGTCCTCAATGGTGACCTCCACTCATTAGGTGCTCCAAGCATAATAAAACAAATGCTAAGAATTACATTTGACTATTTGACTGTATACAGTGTATATAATCCTACAGATTTATCCATCCAGATGAAATGAAGGGCTGATCACAACTCCTGTATCACTTAGTCTCACTTTCAAAATGATCACCATTCACTTTGGGGTTGTTGTTTTTTTTGGTTGGTTTTCCACAACAAATCTAATTGTTGAGATTTTTTTTAATAGATGCAGCATGTGTCTGATCCTGTTCCTCTTTACGTGTTTTCCCTTCCTATGTCAAACATTGTGTACTATGTTTCTTCCTTGCATGTCCTCTCAAACTGCATGTTTATATGTTTGTGTGTCTGTGTCTCCTCTGGTCTGGAGTCTGGTTATTATATTCTGTGTTTGTGCTCTTCTGTATGTGCTTGTGGGAGATAGTCCTGAGTCTTTAAAGGACCTTCATTACTTTCTAACACAAGCCACATGCAAGCTTTTTGTGCTCACATTCAATTGATCTGCACGTTAGATCAATTATTCACTAACAGATTGCAAATGCATGTATGTATGTTTATCATACGTGGCTGGCATGTTGCTTTTAGTAGGCTAATTGGCTTGACACTATATTACCCAATGCATTTTACACGTACAGCATCTTTATGTATGTGTTTTAACAGTGAATTGCTGGAAAGGGCGCACTTACATAGATATAAACATATACTCATTCACACTCCAGTGTGCACACACACAGAAGTAGTGAAACACATACTGACCAGCATACACTCAAATGCACACCGACAGCACGCTTAGTCTTGATTACATTCATAAACAAGTAAACAAGTGCACACACATACATATACACATACAAACACATGGTCATGCACACAAACATAACATAACATAACATAAGCACACACTACAACAGTTACACTGGCTCTGACTTAAATGTGTGTGTGGTAGGATTAAGGGCGGGGGCCAGGCCTGGGGAGGGAACCAGGATGGAGTGGTGAACAGCCAGCCGGGGGCTCGAGTGGTGGACGAACGTGAACAGATGGCCATCAGTGGGGGCTTCATCCGCAGGTAAGTGTGTGTGTGTGTGTGTGTGTGTGTGTGAGAGTAGGTGTTGGTCTGGTTGTGCCCCTCTGTGTTGCTTGTTTCTGCATAATTGCTCGTGCATGGTTGTGTGTGTTTGTGCACACATACTGTTTACATACTGTTTACATGCATAGTTTTTAAAAAAATATATAAGACATCTTAGAATAGGCTGCCCATTTTGACAATGAAATTTAATTTCAGTTTACTTTGATGTTTAGAGGCTTACAGATTGAAGGACTGTGCTGAAGAAGCAGACCCCACTCTCAGTCTGCAGCATAAGTAGTCAGGGTTAAATAAAGTAATATCTTCATTTCGTCTTTAGAAGAAAGAACGGCAAAATCGGAGCAACAAATTTGGACACAGATACAGTACCTGATGGATATGAGTTATTTTCCAACTTTTTGTGATCCCTTAATTAAAAATAAGCTGTGACCCATTACTTTCTGAAGTCTGCATTGTGAGAGTTTTCACTCTCAATTTTGTCATTTGACTAAATGTTCGAAACTTGAAGAAGTAAAACTATACCCACAAAAAAAACAGCAATTAGAGGTAACGAATATTATTTCAAATCTGTGTAGCAGAGCTTTGTTTTAATCATCTTGAGACACTCAGATCTATCTTGTGATTCTTGAAAAACAGGTCTTTCACAGATTGATGTAAAGTGCTGTCCATGGTGCTGAATCTTCAGACAGACATAACATGTATGAAATAAAGCAGGCCATGTGGTGGATAGATACATTTTAACCAGTATTCATTATTATTTTATCCTTAAATGACCCAATATTTGGCATCCATGGAGACTGAAATGTATTTGTTCATGAATTAATTTTAACATGTTGTATCTACTTGTAATTCACTGTACTGTACTCTACCATGCTGTTTTGTGAGGCTAGTGCTTTCCAGCACAGTGTAAGAGATCACAACAGGAGCTACAACATAATCTTTGGTCATTAACCTCCTTCTCCTGTGTATTCCAGGGTAACAGATGACGCCAGGGAGAATGAGATGGATGAAAACCTGGAGCAGGTGGGCGGGATCATTGGCAATCTTCGTCACATGGCCCTGGACATGGGCCAGGAGATCGACACTCAGAACCGCCAGATTGATAGGATCATGGAGAAGGTACTGTACAATGAGCACTGCCATATATTGGAATATTGGACTGTAACTGGTGGGACAGGGTGCATTATTTCTAGAGAATTGCATGACTTTGATGTAGTTGCCTCTTCGCCATTCTAAATTCATACTTATTGATGGAAACACTTCAGATTCAGTTATTACTAGGCAACAACTTCTCAAAGTAGTAGCAAAGTAACTTTTAATCCAAAGGGGACAGTTTATTATTATTAATATTTATGATCTCTTAAGATAATTAAGAGACCACAAATGGCCCCAGAATTTCAATACTACTTTGTGAAATAACCATTTATAGGCCTATTTGTATTAATGCTAGCGGAAGGTCTGAAAAGCTATGGGGGCAACCAGAATGATATTAGATTTACATACTTAGTTCAAGTTGGAAATTGGGAGTTTAACAATGTAATGTCAGAACTGTGGATAAGGTAAGTGCATGAAAGGAAACAAATCTAGAAAAAATGGTAGTTAATCTATACAGTATTTAGCTGATAGTTAGCTTGGATTACATGCCCAGCATTAGGCTGCGTAACAGCGGATGCAGGTGTGCTGCTTTTGAGCAGATTTAGGTTTGAGACAGTAATGGAGGACTCACATGGACAAAATCTGTGTGTGAAACATCCCAATTGTGCACTTTGTCCATTTGTTCAGTACGTATTCAGTCTTCATTAAAGGATGATTCTGGTTTATTTCAAATAAAAGTGCAAACGGATTCAAGGACTCATGCAAAACAACATTTCTTAGGGCAAAGTTGCACAAGCCCACAACTTTCCAAATAAACAGGATTTTTACATGAATCATTTGAAACATTTGTCTCTGAGTCTGACTGTAAGTAAACGCAGAAAGAAGCTGCCTGAAACAGCCATTATGAGCTGTGTAACAACTGGTGCATTTCTTCTTTCAGGCTGATTCCAACAAGACCAGGATTGACGAGGCTAACCAGCGTGCAACAAAGATGTTGGGCAGTGGCTAAACTGCAGCGAAAAAGTGCTTTCATCCCAGTTTAACCCCAGTCACCCTAAAAATAACAACACCAACCAAACCCAGCCCCCAGTACCAACGCCCAGTGCCCACTTCCTATGCTCGACAGCAGGCGCTGCAAAATCATGCTTTTACTGTGATACTTGTAGACATTTGCACACATTCACATATCATACATTCCTCTTCCCCCCTCTCAATCCTACCCACCACTCCCCTCCCTTGTTGTCAATGTTGTTCAGTGTTGTCACTCTTTTGATTTTGTTAAGAACTAATAGTTCTGTTACACATCGCCCACTCAAACTCTCTCTACACTGTACATAGTGCTTCTTAAATGGCTTTATTGATTTAGATAATTTGTCCTTTTTTCTTCATCACTTTTTTTTAAGTCTGTGTGTAAGATAAACTGTATGTACACCTTGCTCCAAGATGTCCTTCCCCCATGTCAGTATTCTGGTGTTGTCCATGTACGACACTGTGTATTCATCAGTTAGGATGTAGTGATGCTACATGATAAGGCCACAGTGAATATTGTGAATATACAGCCACAGCTTGTAGCCAAGGCCACTGTCATTCAATGTAAATGTGGAATCACTCAGATCTTAATGACATAGTAGACCATAATAGTTTGTATATGAGCCATTTGGATGAAGCCACAGCTTTTTGTTCCTGACTGTAAGCGCACCAGTATTTTACCAACTCTACTACTGGAGCTGTGTTAACACAATTTGATGCTATTGATTATATAGCATATAACTTTTCCTCAGGGAGCTAAATCTTACCGTTCAAAAGCATGGGTTAATATTTAATTGGTTTATAATAATTCATAAAAACTGTATCATACGGCTCAGTCTATATGCAGATATTTGCATTTGTTTGTGGTCTGAACAGCATTGTTGATGGGGCTCTTGTTTATTCATCATAAAAATATTGGGCATTAACCATAGTAGCTAACATTGTGATAATGAAAAGAGGTGGCGCTTTGCTAGATGTCCACAGCAAACGATTCATCTCTTCACATAGCAGGCTAAACTGCTTTACCCATGATTCAAGCCTAGCAATATCAAGTAGTGCATTAAGTGTGTTATGCATGTCCATCTGCTGCTAGAAAACACTGAATTCATGTATCCAGGCAAAAATATCCTAACATGGCAACCGCATGCTACATATGTAGGCCCATATTTGCAATAGTGCCACTCTTTTTGTTTCATGTTTCTTTACCTTTCCAGACTGCGACCATCACTGTAATTAATACCTTGGGAAATGCCAATAAAACCATCATAACTGTAGAACCAATCTGAGCTTCTTTTGTATTTTCATGACTTTCAATACTGGTTTAAGTTAATAGTCACCACGTCAAGCATCAGAACTAAGAAAAGCTTGGTTAAAAGTACAATTCACACGTCGGACATCGACACCAAAAAGAGATAAAATTAGGGGGAAAGCAACTAGAATGAATGTAGTTTTTGTGTAAGAGGGTTGACCGTGCAACCTGCATACGCTTATATTGAGGTTACGCAGACCTCGACTACAGATGTAACAAAATCAGAATAGGAATTTTCACTTCTAGACAAGAGCACAATCAGGTGAAAAGAAGATAAATATCCACTGGGAACATAAGGCACTACTTCTATTTAAATTGTGTGAATAAAATCTTTGTAGACAAAAAAATGTAATAAATTATATTATTTGGGTTGAACATTTAATTGCTTTGTAATAATAATAATACAAATGCAGAGGTTTTACAGTGCAGAAAATCACATCTAAATTCAAATGTCATCATCATTTGAAGGAGACGGATTTCTTTGTATTATCAACACAGTAATTTCCTTCACTGACACAGACAGGTGGTTCACAGAGTCACATGGCCAAGCTTTATATAAGAAAAAAGGTAACACAAAGTAACAAGTTTAATCTAATCGTATGTTATAGTCTAATTCTAAAAATATGTTTTCTAACTACTCTATTCTACTCATAAATTGTTCTAAAACTGGAGCTAAATGGCTAAAATAAAATCAACACCAGGTCAATGCAGATATTTAAAGCACTGTATGGAAAGGAATGGACACGACAGAGAAAGAGACAGAGAAGGAAAGATGTGCAGCAGCACATTACACTAATGGACATCTACTGTGGTGCCCTGGGCTTAAGGCGGATTATAGTTTGCCACGTCACTAAGAACACTGACACACACAGACACACACACACACACACACATACACACGTACACACAGCAGGGTAATCCGCTATACCTTGGTTACATCTATTACACAGCCTCTGTACATACATCTCATGTGTTTGTATACAAAGTAAAATAAAATGAATGCATTTTATCATCAGTGTTATCAACATGAAAAATCCTACATAGGCTGTATTATCATTTTGTGGTTTATTAAATAAAGGTGAATGTTTTTTTTTCTTCTCTAAAATGAAAATATCATGTTTCAGAATGGAATCTGTCAGCTCTTCTGCTCCTCACATGCACTTAAGGTAAAGGTTATTTGCTGTTGGACTAATAAATAACACTAACTTGCGTTGTTGCTCACTGAGGGCTCAAGAGTGTCTTTTTAAATCAAGAGCTCCCTCTGCTGGTATATGTCTGTGTACTGCATTTTCATGTGGGCAGTGACGTTAAAGGGGCACTCAACCAATTTTACACGTGAAGTTCAGTTTTCTCATCACAGTGAGTACTGTGTAGCCTGTGAAAACATGTCGTTTATGGCTCTGCAGGGGTAAAGAGAAAACGATGATGTTATCTCAGTTTAGGTTTGAGGCTTCACATTTTGTAACAGAAAGCAGGTGTGACAAATTTGTAGAGTTTGAAAGGTATGGTTGTGTATCAGACAGGGAGGGTCGAGAGCCGTTTAATGAGGGTCTAATGGAAGATGCTGTAAAGTGTAGGAAGATCCAGTGTTTTGGGGCATGACTCACAGCCTACTAAAAGTCGGGGTATTATGGCCTCTGCTACTTTGATGAATTATGTTCTGACACAGATATGAAAACCAACATTTATGAATAATAAGCTGAGAGCCAAGTCCATTGCTCGTGGTGTTTTCTGTTACCATTACAAAATTATTGTTCTTGCACCAAGTGGAAGCCATTTATTTACTTATAAGTGGTCCCAGACCCCCTTTACCAGGCACCTTTCTGACAGTATGACATAAATTCAATAATTGAGCTCTCATAAATAGCATAATTATAGATGTCTGAAGTGTGTGGTGAAGTGTCCTAAAGCAATGTCAGAGCTGAATAAATAGGGTAAGGTCAAGGCCAATAGTTTAACCCCAAATCATGAACTGCGCTTTTAAGACTCATACAGATTAACCATAGCATAGTGTTGACATTGTAGTAAATATGGTGACTTTCCATTTTATTCCTTCATATAAAAACTTTACTGTACACTTCCACTTCTGCTGAATGAAGTGAAATACATTGTTGTAAATAGAAGAGTTAGAAAACGAACATTTAAAATGATCTTTATAAGATTATATTGCTTATTGAAGTTGTCAAAATCAAAACGCCACCTCACCGTGAGTATCAGCAGCTTGGACGCAGAAGACTTCGGCTATTTTCGTCAATCACGTGACCATCGTGGTCCTCATCGTGTTTCTCCGTCCAGAGTCTCCCTCTTTAGCACACAGGACGGTTAGCAACATACAGTCCGTGGTTATCAGCCACTGTGGTACCATGTTCCGAGCCGTGTTCCGACTGTCAGTCACAGGGGCCCGGAGTGTAGCTCGGTCACGACCCTGTTACTCAGGTAGGACTGCCTGCTTTACACCTACCGTGAAATTAAATAGCCTCTGTAATAAAGGTGACTACAATAAGCTTACTCGGCTAGCCGCCTAGCTTAGCTGCTTCTGTGTGTGTGTGAAAGGTACGTTAGGGTGACATTGAATTATTTTTCTGGCTAGCTTTCGTTGTGGTCTTGAATTGAACATTTTCATGTATTTCTACCTTTCATGGAAAATTTGAAATGAAGAGGCGCGAAACGGATTTTAGCCAAAAAGTCACGACCTTGTGATGACCCTCCTTAACGTTAGTTAGTTCAGGAGTGTCAGTGACCGCAGTTTATACGCAGCTGATATCAACACGGTGTAACGTCTAACTCAAACCATGTATTGTATCATGTATAGAGCTATATATTTCAAATCTGCACTTAGTTTACTATAGAGGTCTAGAATTATTTAGTTTGTGAGCTTTTTTGATGCTAATATTATCCTAAATTAACTGTCCTGAACTCCCTTAGATCGTCATTCCTTATCTTACAGTAAGTTATACGGCTACCCGGCGTTACAGCTGATAAGGTACAGCCTTATACAGTCTATGGGTACTCAAGCTTGTTAGTACCAGGAAATATTTATTTATATATATATATATATATATATATATATATATTAGTGCTGGGCTACAGAGGTGATTAAAAAATTGAATCGCATGATTCTAAAGTAGTGTATTGCACACTTTTAATTTAAATGTACTGCTATATACACAAAAGTGCAATAACATGCAAACACTTTAAACAAATTTACCAGCAGTATTCCCTTTACACAGTAGCAATAAAATATTTATTGTAAATCTCAACTTAAACATTAATGTAATCAAATCAAATATAAAACCTAAGCTGTTTGCCACTGCCAGGGCATTACCTTTTATAGCTTGTTAAAACAAGTTAAGAGTCTAGAGTCTAGACTCCGGACCCCTGTGGCTTAGAATCATGCGATCACAACATCATAACAGGCACCTTCTGAGAAATAGGTTAACATATATAAATCTGTTTTCTTGTTTTTTTCTGAACAGGTATCAGCAGAAACATTTTTCTTTTATCAGGGAGCAGCATAAACAGTCTATGTTCAGTAGCAAATGTCCTTGTTAGAGTGAAGTGAAGTGGTCGAGCACAGAGCATAGTGACAATTCAACTTCGGGTGGGCGTGTGCGCAAGGAGACCACAGTTTTACGGGAATGCACACGCCCACCCGAAGTTGAATTGTCTTGAACTTTTTTTACGCGACGCGGAGCACAAATCATTGGAAGAGAGACTGATCCTCGCTGTTTGTGAGTTTCCAGAATCTGTTACTGTTTACTAAATAGGAAATCAACAGGAGGGAATTCAGAGCATCCCCGCAAAACTAGATGAAGGCCTATCAGGTAAAGTGATGTAGCCTATAATTTTAACTAAAAAAAGCTACAGCTGTGTAGCGTACAGAAGCCTTTGCCTCTGTTACAATCCATTGAGCGCCTGCCGTTTACTCACGGAGCACTGTCTCCTGTCCTGATGACCAAAGTGAAGAGCAACCCCGCTGGCCAAGCGACTACGTTTGTGATTTTAAGAACGTTCCTAAGACCGACATCTTCCCCAATACTAATCAGCGTGCAGTGTGTAGCTCGCCACTTAACTATGGCATTTGATCGCTTGTCTTGCTTTTGTTTATCTACTTCTCCTACACGCTACACGCTGCATCCGGCGTAGTCTGTCGAATCCTCCCTCCACTGCTTGTTTGGGTGGGTGATTTGCAGGCTGATTAACATCCCACCCCTCCTGTGACCCATGGTTTGACTGTATGTGTATTCAGAGCCAGTGAGCAACGGACTTTCAAACAAATAATAATAAAGACTGTTAATGTGCGATAAAATAATTGTTGGCGTTAATTAATAAATGCGTTAACTTGCCCAGCTATATATATATAACTTTTTTGATAAATATTAATGTGTGTGTGCTGGTGTGCTGTGCTATATCTTCCAGCTCCATTGGCCTCCAGATGTTACTCCCATGGCAAGGTGGAGACAGACGAGGAGTTTGATGCCCGTTGGGTCACTTACTTCAGCAAGCCTGACATTGATGCCTGGGAACTGAGGAAAGGTGATTTTGTTGACAGTTTATACTTTTCATATTCTGAAGGTGTGTCCTCTTCCCATTCCTAATTCGGTCATTGTTATGGTTCCAGTTTGGGTTAATTTGGAAATCATGAGAAAAACCTCCAAATGACTATTTCAGACCTACGTAAAGTAGGACTGAACGATTCGGGGGAAAAAATCTGTTTTTCTGCCAGATATTGCGATTACAATTCAATTTGCGATTGTTTTGTTTGTTTGTTTAGCTAAAGTTCATATTCACTGCAAGTCTATTTTTGACGGAAGCCGCGTCAAGCAGCACAGAGCAGATGAAATGGGCAGGAGGTCAGACACAGAAAGGCATAGAGAATCCGGTCGATTTTCAAAATAAAACACCCTGCGCACACTCCCGATCGTATATCAACAACAAACACCATTATAACAGACAAAAAAGAAACAATTTAACTACATAGCCTACTTAACCATACTAAAAGCACAAAAAGCAAGGACAACAGAACAAATTAACAAAATCTGAACAAGTCAGCAAAATCAGGCAAAACGCTCTCATTCTGAAATGCTTCATGTGGATGTAGCTGAGCGAAACTGGCTCAGAGAAAGGTGTTATCTGTAGTTGAGGCACACAGAATGACAAATTAACAACACGTCAACAACAATGGGTTGCTAAATGCTCTGCAGCTGAAACAATTAAGTGTGAGTTGACGCCGGACGCGGCACAGCTGCCGCCTGTCTCAATTTGGCTGACGCCATTATCCCACGTTTTCCTCTAGTTTCGTTTGTTGTTGTAAAATATACACATCCTGTGCCCGCTCTGATTAGTGAGTAGGACCATAACAGGAGGCGTATGGCGTATTGGTTAGCAAGTCTGTCGCACAAGGAGACAACAGAATGAATTTGTAATTACATGACTGTTTAAACGGGTCAGATGCACTGTATAATTAACCTACATTTAAATCGTTGTCTTTACGATTAGCTAATTGTGTTCTTTCAAATTGCAATTTCGATTTGAAAACGATTAATAGTTCAGCCCTAACTAACTTAAAGTAAATTTCTTCTTAACTTCTTAATTCTGCTGATTCTTCAGTAATAGGGCCTTTTCTATTCATTTTAACCCAAAGGCATGAACACGCTGATCGGGTATGACCTGGTACCCGAGGCCAAGATCCTGGATTCAGCACTAAGGGCTTGCAGGAGGCTGAATGACCTGGCCAGTGCCATCCGCATCCTTGAGGCCGTTAAGGTGAGCAGCCGTCCCTTTGTAGGTTCACTTCAGGTCTGTGGGGAAGTGTGACCCCTGACAGATCCAGATTTTTAATGAGACCATTATCCACATTAGGAGTTAAAAATATAAATTTACAGACATAATACGGTACACCAGTAGCAAATGAATCACTACATTATTGTTGGAGACTTATCATTACTTAACTGCATTTGTGTGTGTATTTTGCAGGACAAAGCAGGCCCCCACAAAGACATCTATCCCTATCTGATCCAAGAATTGAAACCCACCCTGTCAGAACTCGGCATCTCAACACCAGAGGAGCTGGGCATTGACAAGTTATAGACTGTCAAGGTGAGACTGCACTATACCATAATACTACATGTTACTTGGGAAGGCAGCGTAGCTTTAGCAAGAGAGTTGCTTCAGTCATAGGCACTGTGCGAAAGCCTGTTTGTGTAGGATGACCTACTGGATATACAATAATCATGAATTATATAGAATTACTTGCGTGCACTTAAAATATCTTTTGTTCCTCTTTTCTCAGGTCATTTGATACATGAGATGAGCTCTCCTGATTGTCTCCTGTCAAATATGTCAATATTGTTGATTAAATCCATACTGTCCTATTGTGTACAAAATGGTGGACCTAATAAAGAGAACCAATAATTGAAGAATTTGTTTTCTGGTAAATTGTTGAATATTTTTCCATCTATAATGGACCTTTTTAACAGTAGACTGAAGTTAGAAGTTCCCTGCTAATTTGCATGCCTCTTTACTGGCATATCTTACTGGGAAACTACTAAATAGAGTGGACCCATTGGTAATATCGGTACACATTTTGCTTTTCCAGCTATGACAAGTCAACATTTCTGTTAAAAGATCTATTGTGTGTGTGTGCAGGGCCCCATTTCAGAAAGTGAGACTAGTGAAAACTGAGTACATTGAGCCTGAGATGAGGGAAAATCTGGGTTATCGGAGACCGAGATCAGTAACTGGCAGTTTATGCTGTGAACAGTTCAACAAACTCTTGAGTTTCTCTTTGACGCCTTCCCTCCTGCTGAGACTGAAGCAGCTGACACAGTTTCATTTCTTCATTCATACAGTCGATATCAAAGCACACTGGAGATGTTGTGAGTGAGGATGATTGTTCAGCTGAAGTGACTAAATGTAGTTTAAAAGTAAGTTTTGAAAATTAGCTGCATATACTCAATGTACTTTGACAGGATTTCATTAAATGCGAAATGTGTGGGATTTTTTAAATGTAAAATAGATGTCTAAAATGTACAGTCATTTTGAATCTAGACACATTTTCAGTGCAAATCACCAAAATCATTATTTCTGGGAATATAACTTTACAATTGGGTCCATGACCTAAGCTGCGTATTATCTGTTTGATCCATTGCCACCTGCATTTGTCCCTCAGGTTACAGCTGAATAAATATAGCCTATTTTGCCTATATGTTACAAAATGTAACATACAGTAAAGGTTTCCTACACATTACCATTCATTGAGGAAATTCAAGTCTGGTAAATGATGATTCAACTACACTGAATAAAATAATAGTTTTAACTTACTGATTCTTTTCTCCACTCCTGTTAGATAAATGTCATGGTAGGCATGTATTTATATTTCTTGTGCTCTTAATTTACCCGTTGCCATGGTGAATCGTATTATTTCGGAGATCCATCGATGATGGGTTTTTTTTTTCTTCCCCATGCACGCGCTTCCATCAGGTTCAAACTCAGAAATGATTGGACTTATGTTGATCAGCTGTGCTAGCACCAAAAACCCTTAAGTTTGAAAGCTGACTCAGTCAACACCACCCCCCAAAATTTGTGTGGTGTTATTATTTAATTTAGCCGAACATTACAGAGCGTGAGACCGTCGAGATTTGTTTTTCCTCTGAGCTCTTCTCTCACTCTCACCCACCACCAGATGGAGACAGGAGGCCGGAAATCTGACTGCGATACATGTGGGATAGCATGTACTGGGGTCATTTAAGACTATCAGCAATTAAAACATGATACGGCCTGTAATTGCGCCATTTGTATATTTTGGAAATACGGGATCATCACACCTACTGTGGAAAAGTGAACCAAAAGACCATGTTAATAGTGTTTAATAGTTAGTCATTATTTGCTACTGTCTATAAAGTATTTTTTTTAAATTCAATAATCAAACTTAATTGTTCTAGTGTGACATTACTTTGATAATTTTTCTGTCGTCTATGTTGACCTGCAGTCAATGTAAGTTAATTATGCTAATTTCGTGACCGTTACAGAATTTAGACACGATGATTTAGTGACAAGGAACTGCAACAAAAAAATGCTCCTGCGCTAAACCCAACACTGCAGTTGAATCATCTTACTTCTTGGATAACACGCATAACTTCCATAAAACCAGGGCCTAACGGCCCTGCATAAAACATGTACGCGACCGAGAGTTTTATTTTGGAAAATTCTCCGGAACTCTTGAAAACCCTGTCACTGATAGCATAATAGCAAAGCTAGCTTACAGAAGTGCCTACCTGCTCCTGCTGAAAACTACAAAGTCATCATGGCTGTGTTGTGGTGCAAACTGTGAGAACTAAGGCCAAGATGATGAACGACATCATAGAGGAACCAGAGAAGGACACCCTGCTGGAAGCGCAGCCGGAGCCACAAGTTTTGTCGGTAATGTCAGCTAAAGCTAGCCCGGCTAACGCTAGCTTGTAAATAACAACTGGGAGGCTAAGGGACTAGCCTAGCATGTGATTTTTGACAGTTGTTCAGATGAGACATGCGTACAGTGCTTTCTGTCGTTAGACATTGTTAAGTGTGGCTGCAGATGACATCGAGTGACATGATAAATGGGCATATACACACGTGAAATACATGATATCGTCCTAAAAACCCGAAAGGACTGCTGGGAAATTCGAAGGAGCTTTCTATTTTCGAAATGTAACGTTCATCTGGCTGGTGAAATTGTATGGGTTACCACTGGAGACAGACTTTAGCTAATTTAGAAATAGATCAGAATGAGTTACAGTAGACTTGTTTCATGAAGCTCATGATTGAATCACACTGGTATGAAAACACCCCTAAAAACCTTGTGTTGTCAGTTTGCAATCTCATGAGTTTCATCATATTACTGTATTGTCATTTACTTGGTTACCATACATTCATATAAAATACAGATAATCCTTCATTTGCGCATCCTCAGGGGCCCAGTAGTGGCACAAGACCTAAGACCGCAGATGGAGGGATCAGGCCTGTGGAGAAAAGAGGACCTTACATCATGTCCAGAGCTCCGGCAATCCACCTCAAACTACGTAAGACTCACCATAACCAATGACATAAACAAGTCATTATAATGCAGGTCTCTAGGTCAGAAGTCTTTTCATTATTGTTGTTCTTATGAGTTCAGCTGTGGTTCATACTTTTGTACACAGCAGCACACAATGGGGCATCTGAAGAGTGCTGTCTTGTGCAGCCAACAGGACAGCAGAGCCTGAGTCACATGAACCAGTTTCATACAGACTGTGTGTATAGAAAAAAGCAGTCCATGTAGCCAACCTTCTATGATGTAATTCACTGCCTACATCCATCACATCTAAGAACCTGATATCTTCACGTTCTGTGGATAGGATTGTTAATGGTAAGCAGTCATGATTGCTACAGAAAAAGTTTCTGCTCTTTTTAATGCTGACTGGCGATTTTATGTCTGATACTCATTTTGCATGTATAAAGTGACTTTGTGTAGCTGTCCAAAGCCAGGGCAAATGTCACAGACATGAAGGATTTCCACACACATAAGAGGAGATGTTGGAATTCATACACGGTAAAGTGACTGTAGTGTGAATCTGTCATGTGAGTCATTCACTGGAAAATTACATTCACAGATCTTTTTATAAGCAAATTCATATTGATGTTACTCATCATGAGAGCCACATAAAAATTTCGCTACTAAATCTCTTACTACAGTTACTTAAAATGACAGCGCTGCTTATTCAGCTTCCAAAAACTTTATTCTCCTCCTGTTGCTCTCATGTTCTCTCCTTTCCACTGCATTATTTCCTTTCCTTTCCTTTCCTCTCCTGTCCAACCACAACACCAAACGTTAAATTAACGAGACTGTAAATGCTCTGTATTTGTTAATTTGGTGGGCGGTGCGCTTCTACACTACATCTACATTCACCATTCACACACGGAACCGCCAACCTTCCGATTAACGGGCAACCCGCTCTATCTACTGAGCCAGTTTCCATGATGTTGATAGGTTTTTAATGTAGTGTGTCCCCTATTAAAATGTTTTTTTGACAACTTGTAATGGTGTTTAGGGATGGGTAATGTTAAGATGTTATTGGTACTACTCTTATGGGTTCGGTTCTTTATCAGTGCTCTTATTGTTTCTTTTTCATGAATAAAAGTACTTTTTTAAAAATATTATTTTTAAAAAGAATACTTTCAGAACAGGATTAGTTTTGAATTGAATATTTTAAATGTGTTGTTCCTAGAGCAGCAACAGTAATGTTTACAGCAGCAAAATCATTGTATACTCTTTACTACATATGCTTTCTACATGTTTATGCTTGTTGAACAGATGTATTGATAAAGAATTGGCTTACTCAGAAAACCACGTATGAGTAGTTATTTATGAAACATACTGTGACGTGGAAATGACCTTATCTCGAAGCAAAGTCTAGACTTGACTAAAGGGATTTTCTTGTTTGTTATGTAGGGGGACTGAAGCCTGCAGGGATCTTTGCATTAGCTTAATGAACAATGTCATTGGAATTTTCACTCCCAAGCTACATGTTTGGCTTTGTTTGTCAACTGCGTGTTGCCTGGCTTCAGTCCCCTCCACCATCGTCGTGAGAACAGAACAATAACAGAGCAGGAAAAATAAACAAATGGACATACTGGCAAATTAGTAACACATTGACCTCAACTAGCCATTAGAGAAAGCTAATTAAATCCAGTTCCAGTCTATTTTATTTTATATTTATTTTATTTATTTTATTTCTGTTCAAACACAAGACAAATAATGATGTACAGCCATTGAACATACCGTTACCTCAATCCCCCCACCCCCCCATACCTCACACACACATGGGGTCTTGTGGAGCAGTTAATATAGGCCTATTGAGTGATTCAAGGTGCCTGGTGCAGTAGAAAGATATACGACGGACAACAGGGATCAGAGCGAGCCCTTTAATGCTTCAAAAGGTCAAAGTGTGAGGGGGCTGCAATCATATTCTTGGCAACTGTTAAACCTACCAACATTACACGTTTCTGACATTCAGGGACTCGAAGTGCTGACAGATCATTCAATAATAACACTGGTATGGTCACAAGCAGTGTGTCGTCAGCTCAGCAGCCACATCCTGCCAAAATCGAGCTCCACCATGTAGAGGAAAGGGCCAGTGGTTTTTAATGTACACAGGGTGCATGAGGGATCACTGATAACTTTCATAAAATGCAGCTTATGAGAGGTCAGGTAGGTCCTGTGTATGAAATTATAATGGATCTGCTGGTGGTCACGATTTCGAGAGGCGAGTTTGATATTGGCCCACACCATGTCCCAGTCAAAATCCTGATCCAGTCTGGGGACATCGCCCCTCCATATCCTGTCTACTGGGAGCGTTTTGTAGGTTGTGTCAAGCAAGTAAAGGTGGATTTTTTGGCTTTACATCTGTTTTTTATTTTCCTGAATTAAATTGTTGCCTCGATCAAATCTGTTAAAAGAAAAAAAAAACTATAAGACATCATAAATGATTTTATTTTATAGGTCTGATTATCATAACACAGTGATGTCCGTCACTCTCAAAGAACTTTCACTTGCTGAGTGTGTGTGTAGGCGGCTTCATACATCTGAAGTCCTACACTGAGATAAGAGTATGGTGTTATTAGCATAATAAACCTCTTATGTGACCTTTGCTTTGACTGACATCCAGTCCTGGTCAGCACAAAAATGTCTCTCTTCACAGAGAAACACAGGGAGATGGCGAGGAAAGCCCTGAAGAAGAAAGCCCTCTCACCAGGACCTCCAGTGATGCATCAGCCCAGACAAGGAGCTAAGAGGTAAGAAGAGGAGGCACGGGGAGGAAAGAGGAAGCTGCTTTTTTGTGTTGTCAGTAACAATGCAGGGGAGGAGATGTTTGTTTCACACAATTTTTACAGTTTCTGGTTCTTTTAGGATGGTGAAATACAATAAGGGCTACGCTGCGTTGAGTCAGCATGCTGAGGACTCTTTGGTTGCTCTGGATTCAGACAGGTAAAGTTACAGCAGGTATAACGCTGAATTCCTACTAAATGCCGTAAAATGCACTGAATTTGTAGAGATGCAGTGCGGATCAAAATATATCCCAGTGGAATTTTTATTTTTGTTTTGTAGTTTCAATTCATCTTTCAAAGAATGTTACGAGAAGCAAAGTCTACAACAAATTGTATGCGTGTAATAGAGTTTAAGTCACTGCTTTACATTGTAGCTAAAAATCATGCGGCATGGACATTTAGCTGTTCCAGTTCCACCACCTATAGCGTCCCTAAATGTTACTGGCTGACACATTAAAATAGTTTACCTCCGAGTGACGGAACCTGTCTTTCTTGTCCTTGCAGTGATGAAGAGATTGATTTCGAGCAGTATTCCTCAGGATACTCTTCAGCTGAGGTGAGTTTGCCCCACGGGACCTCCTCCAGGCGCTGTCATAATCTCAGTTGTTACACTGTCTAACTGGCTGGGTGACTAAAGCTGTGTGGGTGGGTGTTTTTCATCCATATATGTTGTTCAAAAATCATTCATGTTATTGTCAGCTTGGACTTTATTTTTCCATTTTGTCCTTTCATCTTTGTGACTTCAGCTTGTCACTTTGGAAAACTTTGACTGTGCAAATATTTAGTACCCGTGGAGATATTGGTCTGTGTAAAGGAGAAAAAAAAGACCAGTTATTTGAGGAGTTTTTGCAAGATAGCTTTTTACTTTAGTAAATAGGTCAGGGATTAAAGCGAACCGCTTTGTCTCAAAGTGCAAACAAGAAGTTATCATCAAACATTTTGAATTGAGGGCTAGATCTTGTCTCTGTTTGCATGCATTCATATATATTGTAGGAACACTAGATACTGTGATGTCAGGCAGTTCGTGAAGAAATGTGAGAGCAAAAGATGTGTGTTATTTGTGACCTTACCATCGCTGTTTCTCATTCAAACACACCGAGCCTCTGGCTATTTCTTGACCTCAGATATGTAGTCAGGTTTGTTTATACTGCCTATTAGCTTAAATTCAGTCTTAATTGTTTTCTCACATTGCTATTGAGAAACTGTTTTTCATCATAGCTAAGACGCATACAAAAAGTACATTTTAATTCAAATAGTTAGTTCAAGGGGGGGCCTCTGACCCCATCACAGCTAAATATTTCTGTACTGTATTTGAATGGCACTGGGTTTGGGTGATTCAAAAGTAAAAACAAAAGGTTTGCTGCCACTTGAACATGACCTTTTAATTGCTAACAGTCATTAACAGAGGACTGGTGGCATCACTAGCAACCTGACTTGAACCTGAAAGCCAGCTGGATCTTTCAGTAATTCATGTCCATTTAGAGAGAATATTTTCCTGTGCTGGTCTACTCAAGGAACTTTGTTTCATTTAAATATCCAAGTGCCTTAGAACAGTTTAGGTGAGCTCACAGCATATTAGTATTCTTATTGACGATCACATTATAAACTGCATTGTGTTAGTGAGGTCTGTCTCTTTGCTCTCCAGGTCCATCCTGATTTAAGCAGGCAGCTGCTTCAGGACGGCTACCGTCTGGATGAGATCCCCGATGACGAGGACCTGGACCTGATTCCGCCCAAAGCCTTGGGCTCCTCTGTGTGCTGCTGCTCTGAGGGCCCATCCTGCTCCACACAGTGATGCCGTGTGAGGCTCCAACTCCTGTCCCTGACTTTAGTTACTGGTGTCCGAGGCCTTCTTTCTGACTGAGCTCCACTGCTGTGCTGCCTAAGGACTTCCAGCCCTGAAGCCAAACTAACGTTCATGCAGGACTGCGTGCACAGAGATGCCTCAGCCTACATGAAAACGCGGGTGGACGTAAGAACAAGCCTTATCCACTGTGACCCCAAAGCTTGACATGGTTTTTTTCTTTATATAGAACTACATGAAATGCTAACTATGCCAGTGCTCCAAATAGAGTGGCAGAGTAATTCATCATTTGGGATATGTCCTCATTGACCCAGTGGAGAGTGGGCTGCTGTCTTTTTTTTCACTCTGGTATTCTGTTTTAAAGTTCTGGGCAAATTTGAATTTTCCAGTTATTAACTAACTGCTATATGAAAGCTTCTCACTAGACCGTTGACATTCCTTGACTAATGTTGCATTAACTGCTTGTTTTTTGTTTTATTTTGTTTTGCTCTTCCTCAAAAATGATATTTGAGTTGTATTCCAAAATGACGTGCCCACTGCTGGGGCGGGTGTAAGAAATCCAACAAAAATAACAAGTTAAAGGATTTGTTTGTTTGGTTTTTTTAACTGTGAAGCAGAGCACTGAATTAAAACAAGTATTTATCAGAAGGGAGTGATTACATTTTACAAGTTGTCAGTGAGCAACTGCTACATCCCAAGAAGGACTCACTTATCTATAGAGGATATACTGTACTGAGGGAAAAGCATTATGAAAAGTTGTCCTACGAAGTTATCCACTATTTGAAAGAGTAACACCTACACTTACCAAATGTTAGACTACAGTATGTCGCACAAAATGGAAGCAGGTGACATTGTCTAACCAATTACATTTGATTAGACTCTGTATTGTAGAAATAAGTTTCATTCCAGTAACCAGAATATCCACCAAAAAAGCTGTTACAAAAAGGTTATAGGCATAAAAGCAAAATCCCATCCCATATACGTCATTTAAAGACATTTGTTTATGTGGTTAGATGTGTATACGTTTATCATTTAAATTCTATTTTTTCATAAATATGCTTCACAAAACAATCTGGGAGGGATACGAAGAATTGAAAAATAGATTTATGTCGATTTTTTTTGCCAAGACCTATATGTAGCATTTTGGATTAGAACCCTGTCCAGGATTTGATATAACTCTCAAAACACGCATCAGTGTGTGTGTTGACTGCAGATCATTTTTGTATTTATTTATTTATTTAGAATATTGTTTGGGAACACTAAAAATAGATGTTACAGGTTAAAAGCAGTAAACTAGATTTGCATAATTGTAAAATGAATTAACATACATAAGTTTAAACTATGTCTAATATGATATCTATAATTTTCTGTTTGTGTTATGATGCGTCGGTTGTTTCCTACACAATAGACACACGTGTGCTGAAAATGGCAATGTTTACTCTAAAAAAAATTTTTTTTTCTTTTTTCCACTTTTAAAAATGTATCTGTTCACTCATGTTGGTTCATATTTTTCTGTTAATCGTTGGTCTTTATTTTGAAATAGTGAATTAACAAAAAATATTCAGTATCAGAGCAAGTGACCGTGATCACTTTCTCAGGAGATCTTATGTGAGTGTGCAACTAGAAAGTAATTTGCCTTTTCACATACATTGTAAAATAAAATTGCACATCTGTTTAAGTGCATAGAGGTTTTAAGTCAGGATAAGTGTATGGCTGCGGTTTTACTTACCTGCAGACCACACAGGCGTAACTCTCAGTCATATAAATAAATGGTATAGCAGACCACTTGAGCACCATAAAGAAGTCAAGGACAAAAGGAAAAAGAGTGTGGCATTTTGTGCTAGAAAAAGGAGGAGCCGTGATTAGTACTTCACAGAATTGGTATTAATTCAGCAATTAAAAATCAGGAAGTGGATTTTATTAAACCGTTTGCAATGAAAATGCTAGGTGTTGGAAATATTACTTAATTAACACGAGTAATGTACACTGTCTCCTCACAGCGGTCCATGGTTGTAATGTGGGTGACTTAGCGTAATAGTAGAAACAGCTTTTATTCCTAAGTGTGAGGTAAATGCTTTAAATGTAACAGCTGATTTTAAAGTGTACTGACTCCGGCCCTGGCTCTGCACGATGTTTTTATGTAAACTAATATTGCACTTAACACCAGTGGTCAGTAGCAAGTACACTTGACTCACCTGTACTATGCAACTATTGGGACAATCTGCTTGTTATACAACATTGTGACTAAGTGTTATTGAGTGCTAAATGCAATAACTTAAATTGTTATTTTATAATGTTCAACTCTAGTCTTTTTTTAATTTGATTGTACTGTTTATGGGTTTACATTATTAAATAAACCTGTTATCTATACTTTCATTTGTGTGCCTGTGATTACAGTTATTAAGAATCATCTCTGGTAGAGCTTGTGTAATGAGGTAGTTGTCAATGAAGATTTTTGATTACGGGATTTGAATTTGAAGTTATATAGAATACAGTTTGTGGTAGATGAAAGGCACGCACCATTATGAACATGGTAGTCATTGTTTCCACAAGGGGACAGCATGGAGCCATGCTGTCTTCTACTTAATCATGAGGCACCTGACCGTGAGGTTATTGCGGTATTGCATTTGCATATTGCATTATAATCATAGTCATGTATTCAGAGACAGATGTGATACTATAAACAGGCCATGTGTAACGTAAATATTTGAAATAATTAGCGAGAGACCAATTGCCAAAAATATACATTTCCAACCATGCAATTTGGCTTTAATAAAAATATTTTCAGTGATGGCATCCATGTCAGTAATACGTGTGTGTATATGTATATAGGTCAATAGATTGTATTGATAAATGCATTTGACACTTATTGACTAGTTATATATTGAGATTTATGTGGCGTGGTGGGCTACCCAATAGCACTTCACTCCCACACCTACTGCACCACACCTCTGTAGCCAAGTAAATGCTTTATTATACAAATAAATGTATAGATGAAGAAATGATCGGTAAAACTACTTAATAAGAATGTAATGAACCTGGAAAGGCTGTGGGACGTGTTACTCTCGCTGGGCGGGCCTAATGCTGTTGTGCGCACAGTTGTGCGCCGGGCGAAGGGGAGGAAAAAAACGACTGAAGGGAGTTACCTCAGCGCTCTCCGAGATATGAGATCGGGCCATTTTCCAGTCGGTCCCGTTTACTATTAAAGAAGAAAACACGTAAATCAGTGTGTAAAGAAAGAGAGAAGCAGAGACACCCTTGGAGAGGTCGCGCAGAAGAGAGCACACAGCGCCTTTCTGCAGGGGATCATTAGGAATCTGCGCGCACTGTATCTCCCCCCGTGCGCACGCGCGCGCGTGTGTGTGTTTACAAGTGTTTGAACGAGTGCCACAAACGAGGTAAGAAGGAGGATCAAGCCAAGGAAGGAGGGATGGTGGACAATTCAGGCAGTAGTAAGGCGCAAATGGTGAGTCGTGGACCTCTACATTTGTCTGATTAATAACGAGCTAAAATTCCTCCGAAAGACGCAGTTTGGCGTCTTATATAGCTTAGATAGCTTAGATAGCTTTGCGTTAACGTTTTCCAAAAGAAAAAAGAGGAAAAAACGCTCTGAGGGAATTTGAACTTTATGGTAGGTTACTTTTTTTTTCTTATTACAACCATAGGACAACACTGTAATACAGGTTTAGATAAAAAATCCCAACCCTTGTGGACTATAGTTAATTCTCCCTAAAACATTTTAAGCATAACGTTCTCCACGCATTTTGAGGATGTGGCAGCTAGATAAATGTGTGTGTGTGTGTGTGTGTGTGGTTTTTCAAAAGTTTTAACTTACCTGATTTTTTCTCATTTGAGTGGTTGTTTGACTTATTGTGATGCCTGGGAGTCAGTTTACCCCCTTTTCACATAACTCTGAACTCTTGTTGGAGGCTCTTTCCAAGCAGCTTACCTCCCTCTCTGGTTAAACTAGTTCCAGCACTAACTTAGCTAACTTAACATATGAATGACCATTTTACTGTCCTTACTAAAACAGTAACGTTATTTAGGACCGGTTATTTACCCCTTGCCTTGATAAAGGCGCTTAAAGGTATAGGATTTCGTTATTGAAAATCAGTGGCCTACTGCTGAAAGAACTCGAAGCTAATTCATTTTTTGTCTTCTGGTATTACCAAATAACGTCAGTTTTTCGTGTCTTTGTTTTTCGCGTTATATGTGTGTCCACCCCCAGCAGAATTGCTGTAGTCCTTTTTGCAACGCATTGGTCAACATGTTTTGTAATGAGCCCATTACATTACTGTGGTTATAGTGTTGATGATTTTTCCTGCTTCATTGTTTCTGCTTTTATTTTAAATATATAGTTTAGATGTAAAAGTTGAGAGCTGGAGCCACCAAGGTGTATACATCCTTTCTTTTTTTCATATTAGAACATATCGTTGAGATTTTCTGCTGTGATGTTGAGGGTTTCACCACTTTTGACTCAGTGGCGCTCAGGCCCCTATTGACAAAAGTGTGCAAAGAATTACAACATGTCACGTTTTTACTACATCAACCTGATGAAGAGAACCTAAAGTTTCTTCCATTTTTTAAATACTTTTTCCATATCCAAATCGAGGTGCTAGGGACTGATGTGCTGTACAGATTGTAAAGCCCTCCTGAGGCAAATTTGTGAAATTGGGCTATATTTAAAAAAAATTATACATAAATAATGTGGCTGGATTGTATGTGTGTTTATGTTTAAATCAGGCTCCTATGTTTCCATTGTGGCTTTGATTATTTTTGTTGGGGCGGGGGTGCATGTGCCTTACTTTTCATCCTGTATATTGAGATAAAGGGGTAATTTGATTTCAGTATTTGGTATATCATCCCTGGCTCCTTCTCTTCCTCCCACAGCCCAGCATGTCTCAGGAGCCTGGTGTGGCCTTTCCTCAGAGCACCTCTACAGGGGGGATGAAGCTGGAGGCTGTAATGGAGCAGCTCCAGCGCCAGCAGCAGGCCCGACTGGAAATGGAGCGCAAGGAGAGGAAGCTGCGAGAGGCCCACATCATGTATGCTCAGCAGGTTGCTGCCCAGCAGGCCATCCTGGCAGCTGCCCGGGCTTCTGGGGCCAGCTTCATGGGCAAAGGCCTGGCTGGAGTGGTCCCTGGTGGCGGGTTGCCTCTCCGGGTGTCCAATCAGAGCAGTGTGGACTCTGAAAGGGAGGATGACGAGGACAGAGGCCGGGATTCTGGGGATGAGGACGATGACAATGAGATGATGGAGGGGGACGAGGGCAGTGATGAGGATGAGAGAAGTGCCAGCGGTCTGGAGTTCCTCCGCAAGCAGACCCTGGCTTTGCAGCAAAGCGCCTCCCGCATCCCGGCCCGTCCTTTTGGTAGTTACTCTGCTTCGGCACCTCATAGGTCTGCATCCCCACCTATCAGAGTGAAGCAGGAACCTGATGAGGGCCTGTCTCCTGCGGGGCCCCACTCTGCTACCTCTCCTAACGGACAGGCAGACTGGGGCTTTGATGATCATTTCAGACAGGTTAGTGTCCTGCTTTAGCTCCTTGCCACATTTCCTTTTTATGACATAAATTCCTGTTTTGGCCTTTTCCCAGTTATGTCTTCCAAATATTGCCTCTCAAACCAAAGCTGGCTTCGTGTCATGTGTATAAAACCAGGATTAGTCTGTCTAGAAGGATTTTTTGTTGTTTTATTGTTATTGTTCATTGTGACCCAAAGGCATAAGACCTTTCACTCTTGACCACTCTCCTGTTGAGTGCTTTGGTTGATTTCTTAGTCCAGCCCCCTGTCGTGAGCGTGCTTAATCTTGACTGTGGGACAAACCTCTCCAGCAGTATCTTTTGTGAGACACTTCAAATCTCCAGCAATTGTCTTTTGTGGCTAAAACCCTCCCTAAGTGAGTCCTGGCAGAGGGCCAGGCCGGGGCGCAATGTGTTCACACTCACTAGTTCTCTCCCTCTGCGCCCACATTCTGTGTGCGTGTGTCTCTCGTTCTCTGTCCCTCTTGGCGCTATGCTCAGGCTCTGGTTTGGCTCTGATCCAGGTAGCGGAGTCAGGCAGGGCAGGGCTGCTGCTTTGAGGCTGTGGGTGGTTGGCCAGGTCAGCACGAGGATTTTGGGTGGGTGGGAAGGTTTGATGTAACACACAGTAGCAACCCGTCACACCCCCACACCCCGAGAGTTTCGGCTGCGTGCCAAGTGCACTTTCCCTTGAAGGTAAATATTGCCCCAGCACAGTGTTACAGAACATTGGAATGCCAACTGGGAAGCACGCCGAGCTACATGTGGTTTAGCATCTTAGCCTGGGACATAGCAGGTTAAGGAGAGCTCAGCAGCCTGTGGGTGATATAAAAAGCCTTAGTTGCACAAGAGTGGGCAGTGTCAGAGGACATATCTGAGGTAGATCACTGGGCTGAGGGTGCCGGACTATCATGTGTCTGGATTTTATTACAGTCTATTTAAAGACAAATGTCTTTGAATGGTGCTTCTCTAGACCACATTTCCAAATTAGGGGAAGGCGGTAGTATAGAGGTGGGAGGAGGAGGAGCAGCAGTAGTAGTTGCATTTTATTCATTATTTTATATCAGCTAGCCCTCACAGGGATCTGCTGAGATGATTAAAAACATCACACTATTGAATATGAACATTGTATGAAATGGAGTCTCACCGCATTGTTTGGGCTGCTTATTTTTTCCAGAGGTGTTAGGAAGAGAGGAGTGGTATTATTCTGCGAGGTGGCCAGGCTTTGTGTGAACGTTGTCAGAACAGAAGATCACAGTAGTAAGGTTGTAGCTGACCAGTGCCCTATCTGTGGCCTGGTGTCTTTTATTAGGAGAGGTGGGCTGAGCCTGGGGGTTGGGGGAGGCATTATGGGATGAGAATTGGTGTGGCCTTTTTTTTGTTTCCTCTCTTTTATCTTTCCTGTCATTATGTCAGCTCTGCAGTATTTAATGACGGCTCATCTCTTCAGGCAGTTTCAGGTTGCACCGCTGTAGGGGGAGGGGGGAGGCAGGGGGACTGTTTGTTTTTTGATGTCATTGTCTTCGAGAGGCCAGAGACAAGCCTGGAAGATGCCGCAAATACCAACCCCTGTAATAATGCGGGGAGCACATTTATTATGTTCTAAAAGCAGTGACAGAGGGGGAGATGGGATGACACAATTTATGTTCATTCCCAAAGCACCCTATGTGAGATGCTGCCATCCTCGTGAGCCATAGCAGACCAAATTTAAATAGTTTGACTCTTGATTTCATCTCTCATAGAGAGACATGCAGATTAGGGTTGAGTTGGTTTCCAGTTTTGCTGGTCCGGTTTGATGTAAGAGCTTAAACCAATTTAATTTTATACGAAACCGACCACCTATTTAGTGACTTGGCTTTAGAAAGGGAATAATTAAGTTGAATGGTTGTTGTGAGAAATAAAAACACAAAGTGTCGCTCAGTTGTCCTGATTGTGGTGCTGCTACACTTAAATTCATGGGCTCTCATTATGTTCCACTGGAGAACAGCTGAGTCAAGTGCGACTCGTTGTAAAATTCGGTAGGTCCAGTCCGGTATTTGACTTGATGTCAAACCTGTCCAATTGGCCCAACCCTAATGTCATTTTGCAAGTTCAGCCAACATTTCAAGCAAGTAATAGTGATGAAAGAAAAGGTGAGACGTAGTTCCTCGACAATGTGTGGGACCTAACATAACAGAATAAGAACGACCTGTCGCAACAAGGTAGAAGGTATGTACAACAGGTTTGTAAAGTGAAATTAAGTTTGTAACTCCCTTATGTGCAGTAATACAAAAGCAATTGTGAAAATGTTATCTAGAAATAAACTATAATAAATGGAGCAGTGCTGAGAATGAATTTGAGTTTAACAGTCTGAAAGCTTGGGGGAAACAGCTGCTCTGCAGTCTGGTGGTGCAGCAGCAGAAACTTCTACCCTATCTCTTTTCCAGAAGGCAACAGGGTGAACAGGCTGTGGCTGGGGTGGGTACTGTCCTTTAATATGGTGTAATATGGGGTGGTGATAGCGCAGCGGATAAGACACATGCCTTTGTTGTGAGAGACCCGGGTTAAAATCCACTGTGAGAAACCAATGTGTCCTTGAGCTAGACACTTCACCCCTAGTTGCTCCAGAGGCGTGCAACCAAGTTGCTTTGGATGAAAGCATCAGCTAAATGTAAATATCCTTACTTAACGTTTACCTGTATGTAATTTGCTACACCCAGCAGCAACACTTGACTGACACCCATTTGATTTGTCCATCTTATAATGCTGTAAGTCTTTTGAGTGTGTGTGAGTGGTGAGGGCCTATACAGGTCAAAAGGGGGTGGGCAGACATGAGTGGCCAGTGTTTTTGTGTCAGTGATGTATGTGTAGTGACCTCAGCCCTGTCCTAAACATCAGAGTAAATAATTGTCAAACAAGGGGATGGACAAAGGCGTCGTGTGGGGAGAGGGCCGGGGTGGGTAGCCAGCACTCTGGCCTCCACCGCAGTGGGACAGTGGCTGCATGACCCCTGTAATCCAATCCCCCAACCCTTCCTGTTCACATACACACACGCATGCCCATAGATTCCTCTGCTCCTTGGGATAATCCCTCTGTCTAATAGAGTTTTAATCATGCCTGCAGAACGCAGACTGTGTTACATGTCCCACTATATTGGTGGGGACATCGCTTTGGCTGGATTAACTAACCGAGAAATGTTGTGTGGTAAGCTAACAGGTGGTGTGTGAGTGCAGTCAGTGGCTTTCGTTTGCTGAGCATGAAACTAGGTATCAAGTTGATAGATTGGTGGCCACATTTAAATTGTTTCTACTTCATAATATCATCATAATAATCATTAATTTAGCTGATGCTTTTATCCAAATTGACTTACAATTGCTATACATGTCAGAGGTCGCACGCCTCAGGAGCTACTAGGGGTTAAGTGTCTTGCTCAGGGACACCTTGGTGTGTCACAGTGGACTTGAAGCTGGGTCTCTCACACCAAAGGCATGTGTCTTATCCACTGCTCCATCACCATCTCCACTACACTTGAGTTGTTTGTGAAATGAGATCTACTTCTATGAGGGCAAGCAAGCCCAGTGTCCCAGTTACACTCCTGAAAATATCCTAAGTCACAGCTTACGGGATTTCATCCAATGGGGGCAAAAGCGGCTGCTGTTAATCAGTCTCCTCTAACCCAGTGCTTGCTCTTCAGAGCTAAGCACAGCATGCATCTGTCTTTTCACTGCTTTTACTTTGCGCGACTCTACATTCTGATTTATGGAGTTGTTACTTTAAACAGTAACACTAGATGGTTAAACTTTGCAGTGAATACAGCACGCAGGTGAGCGTGTCTGTACGGATTGCGGATCAACTACGATCCGTTACACCACTAGCCTGAAGTGGTCCAAATCTGGTTTCTGGGGGTAACTGGTCATCTTTTGCTGCTGAGTGCTGCCGTCATTTACCACCCTTGAATCCTGCTTCTGCTGCTGCTCAGGCATTGAAACTTGTCTTTTGAGCCAGCGCTGTTGCATTATTCAGCTGTCGTCCCAGCAACACATCAGCCAGGAAGTGGGGAGCTGCGCGGCTGCAGCGCAGAGATCAATAAGTATTGTGTGTGAGCTTTTAGAGGCAGGGATGTTTTTGGTTCATTTATGATACATGAGGAGGACATTGTATTTAGCAGATGGACTCAAGTTTTCATTTTGACAGTGGAATGTGGAATAACTGTTGTTGGGAACGCCGCTGGATGTGTGAAAAACCTACAACAGTATCACTGTCTCTCGGTGGCGTTGTGGTGGGAGCCAGGGGGCCTCACTCCCAGGTTTGCATGCTGTATACGCCAACCTGACCCAGTTTCTGTTTTCTGAATGCTATTTGGTGCCTCACGTTCCTAAACTGTCAGTGGGTTTTAAATGGAGTACTTAGTCTTATTCTGTTTACTGGACTTCCTGTTATGCTGATGTAATAAGGCTGGAATTACCGTCTGACCCCTGTTTGTACAAAGCGCCTGCAAATTGAGGTCATTCACATGAGAAATAATGAGGAAGGCCAAGATCCATTAAACATGTTGCAGTGCTCGTTCAGAACAAGAAGCGTGACTGTGATGTGTGAGGCCTGTGCCGCCACACTCAAACCGTTGAGCTACACTGAAAACCTCAAACCTGACTGTTAACTTCTGCTGTGACAAATTAAATCACTGTAAATGAAGGGAAGGAATGACTTGTAAATCATCACAAACATGGTTTATTGACCTTACGTGTCAAGGAATATGTAACTTTAATCTGATTTAATCCCTCATTTGTATTCCTGATGCACACTGACTTTAATGTATTAACGCTCTTCAATTTTTCTTTATTTCTTCTTGTGAATGTGAGCCTCTTTAATTCCTCACCAGATTCTTTGTCATCTGGATGACTTCATGACTACAAAATTACATTACAAATGGGAATTGTGATGAATGGCCTGGAGTAATGGTTAACCTCATTTCCAAATTTGCCCCCTTAGCTGCAGCATTGATCTACAGATTAGGCTAGCTAAA